TTGTTATAGCTTTTATATATTCTGCCGAAAGCGGTATGAAAGGCGGTATGGCGGCCGCTTATCGGCTGCTTAGATAGATGAATGAACAAAACAACTTCCTCTACAATACTCTCGGTGCTTTTAGGCACAACATAAATGATCTTTTTGATTTAAGCAGATTATCAACTAACTATCTGATTATTAGATAGTCAGATTTCCTATTTATTCTTTTGATCTCTTTAAGTCTATTATATCTTACTTAGTTATTTAATCTATACTATTCTATTTTTATATCCTCTAAAGCCAGCCCTAAGACTATTCCGCTTTAGGATTAGGGCAGCTGACAGAAAAAGAGTCCAATATAATAGGCCATTAACTGTATATAATATAAAACGCCGTATTGTTGATTGTACAGAGGTAGAAAGAGTCAAAGACTACAGGATCTCAGACAGATTAAGAAAACAGAAACTTTAGGATATAATAAACTACTATAACAGGGAGATATAGGGGATCTGCCTAGTACAGAGACTCGCCAGGTGGATAAGGAGGACCCTAAACTACCTTATTGGATAGATACTTAAGGTGATATTGTATAGGAGCTTGAATAGCTTCAAATTTTGTGTTGAAGTGGGAATTTGCGTTGAGGTGAGGCAGACCAACACGCCGAATGGCGGGTGGGTCTGCTGATGTAAGAGACGGCTACCTAATGAAAGGGTCTGGTGGGTGTACACAGCCCACACGAGCTCGAGGCACAACTCACGCGAGTTGACCCCTTTACACGTGACTGCCAAGGCTATTAATAAGCAGAAAACAACTTGCATGACCTTATAAATTACTGTAAGTTAAAAGGTATTGTAATAAAATTCTAATCTGCCTTTATTATTATTATTTAATTTACAAAATCTATTCTATATATTAAGTACTTCGAAACTACTTAATATATAGAATAGATTTTGTAGATTATTGAAAGAGATTATGCAATTTGAAATTTTGGTATTGTATAATTTGAGAATCACATGATCTAAACCTTATTACTAAGAATTTTCGGCTTGCATCGCCTACAGAACGACCTCAACTCCTGCAACCGTCTGGTGGGGCTCTATGGAAAGGACGATGACAAAGCCACCACTTTGACCTTAGATTACCTCAGCGAGCTCCTCTGCTGCATAAGTTAAGCATAAAATACTTATAAATCTATGTAGACCCATTACACAGTTTCATTGCAGAGGGCCTGAGAATCGGCGGTCACGTTTTTGCGTATATACCTGTAAGGGAAGAGGCTTGCCCTCGTGGGTGCTGAGTAAGCATCCCGCGAGCGGACCTGTTAACAAGGGTCTGTGACAGCTGAGATAAACCTTAGACAAAAATCAAATTTGACTATCCACATAAAACAGCATTGTACATAAATAGAGGACCATTTGCATAGTGATGCAATTCCTAGATTGATAACATGGGTTCCATCGTTAGTAGCGAAGGGAAGAAAAAGAGCCTTTTTGAGAGGGAGAAAGGGAGACAGAGGAATGTGGGTGGGGGATCACTGAAGCAATGGAAGACGAGAGGGTATATCAGCAAAACCAACATGCCAGAAAATGAGCATAGACAAAAGAAAAGGGCAAGGGAAGAACAGCAAATCATCTGAACGTGAGACAGGCCAAGTCGAAATATAGCTAATGCCAAGAAAAGAAATGAGGAGGGTCGCTAGTTCAGGTAGAAAACGCACATGGACAAGACGAGGCAGATTTGATTCTGTTGTGACGGACATCTTCTAGTGTAAAAATTTTCCAGATTTATCGAAGCATATATGCTTGCAAACTATGGCTCCGCGGGTATATACACATTCTCGTCTTGCGGTTGATTTGTGAAGGGTAGTACTGACACCTGTAGGGCATCACGACCGTCAGAACGCACAGGTATCGTCGTCAGGCATTCCAACAGGGCTCAGATGTGAGAGAATATTGGTGATGAACCGTATATTCAGGTTCCCCTGATGAAGCAAGAGTTTCGGACTGTGGCAATGGCGTACCGACCGGACGCGAACGTAAAAGTGCGGGTCCGTCTCTGATTTGGTCTGACAATATCCAAGAGTTACGCCACACCATGACCCTGCCATTTCCTTCAATAGGCATCCAGCCGACGGTCTGTGCTCAAAAGAAACTCTTGATATTAGCCCGGCTTCAGGAAGTATATTGACGAGATAAGTCCCCTGCACCGACGCGTCGAAGCCAGGTTGCACTGTCTCGCGTGTGAAATGGACATAATGCCACCAAATGGTCCAATACTGTTCTCAGTCGGTCTTCCAATGGCTAGCTAATCCCGAATCCAAATCATCGTTTTCGCCAAGCCATAGCTCCACGGCGTACAAAGCCATAGTGCAGGCTAAGTTGACCCATCGCCAAAGATTGCCGCCGCTGCCCCTTTGGCTGCTCCACCACTCTCCATTACCGCCCATCGCCTGAGAAGTAGAGGCGAAATGTTGCATCAAGAGACTGGTATAAACCGCAATCAATATTGATGGAGAAAAGTAGCTGAGGAAACCCAGGAACTGGCCAGCGGCATCGGAGTCATCCAAAGAGGCTTCCTGTGAGAGAGCGCGTGCACCTGATTCACGGACAGCAGGGATGATCCGAGTGGATGCATACAGCACACAGATACGGTATGCGAGTGAGATCAGGACAGAGGGAGTGACGGCGCTAAATACCGCAGAAATCACATTGAAGGCTGCATGGATAATGGAGGGCAAAAGAGACAGGGCGTGCAGCAAAGTGGTGTAGGAGGCCATGAAGATCGGCGGTAGTGGGGGGAAGTCCCCAGCTTGCGCTGGCGAGGGAACCTGTTCAACAGGATAAGAAGGTTGGTAATCTGTGAATATCTGATAGATGCACAGTACGATATATGCGAACAGCAGAGAGCTCTCCACTGGATTCCCACGGCCACTGCCAATTCCCCACGCGCACAATATCACCGCACATGTGATCGACACCCCGATTAAGGCAGCATCTACATTAGAAATCCCAGGGAACTGTAAAACGCGCCAGAGAAAGTATACTGCGCTCGAGATGGCGGACCCGGAGAACACCAGGAGGCCGATCTGCCAGATCTTTAGTCATGGTCTCATGCAACAACAGAACGAGGTAAAACGACGAAGACATATGAGTGAGTGGAAGTAAAGACAGATACGTACCATCCAGCTATCACTGCGACCACCTCGGTTGACAAGCCAGCGAGTGATCTGTCCTGCTGCTTGTATCACCAACAAGCTGCAAAACCCTTCCACAAGCTGGAAGACCGGCGTCGACCATCGCAAGAGTTTGTCCCAATTTCCTATAGTTACCGACTCCACCAACCCACCAGGTCCAAACAGCCATTCTTGAACAGACGTGTTTTGCGCTCGCTTCCCGGTAAAAGTCTGTTCCGCCCATCCTGTTGTGTTATCTGCATCGATCGAAAAGCGGTTCAGCGACCAAATCAACAAGACCGGAATTATGATCCATTGAGTTGATCGAATAATGGTGATCAAAGAGGCACGCAGCCATGAGCGTTCGGGTGTGGTGAGTTTCAGGAGGGAAAACAGGAAATAAAAGATGGCTAGAGATAGAGAAAAGGCCAGACCGCATGTCTTTCCACCTACATCGAAGGCTAGAGGGATGGAAGAAACGGTCACGGACAGGAAAAAGGTGGACGAGAGAACCCGGAAGAGCCACATCGGACGGTGGGGATCAGACACGAGGGTAAAGTTATACACAGGAGGAGGGGGGGAGGGGGAGTTAATAAAAGTTGCCGTCGAGAGTTGGATGATAATGGAATAAACTGACGCGATGTAAGTTTGAGCGGAGAAACTCTCCCAAGAATGATGCGAACGTTGAAGAACGAAGCAACCCAGTGACAAAAGAAAATAAAATTAAAAATAAAATTAAAAAAATAAAATAAAATAAGAAAAATAATAAATATAGAAATAAAGAAAACGAAGAGAGGGAAAATAAAGCCCCTTACTAGATACGCATGAATCAATCTTAAAGAGAATGAGAGTGATGTTCCTCTTCTCTTTCCTCTACAGTTTTCGGGGGTATTATCATTATTACTATTAATAATATTATTATTCCTATTCCCGTGAAGTAAGTGTCCCCTTTGCTCTGGTGGACGTTTATCTCGCTTTCTTTCCTTCCAGGCGGGACAGAATATGATGATGGTTTTCACGTGGCAGTTGTAACCAAAAAAAAAAAAAAAAAAAAAGGAACGAGTATCAAATTTAGTTGGGTACGACGTACAGTACCTACTACCTTTACATATAGTACTTACCACCTACAACTGTACATTCTTTTCCCAAGGCGGTGAAGATACCATTAGCTACAGTACTCCGCACGTACTACGTACCAGCAAAGACAAGGAGCCCCCAGCAGATAATATCATGATGTACTCAAGATGTCGAGACTTTAGACTTTACAGTTAGAAGTACTGCGAACATTTTTCTTTTTCTTCCTTTCCCTTCTCTCTCTCTTTCCCCTCTCTTTTCTTTCTTTTCTTTCTTTTCTTTCTTTTTCTATACAAGATATATCCCACCCAACCTGATCAAGCAAAATTTGCCAGGGCATACTAAGTACATACTCAGATCGTACTGTTCTTCATCTTGTCATGGCGCAAATTCTCTGTCATAATCACACAGTGCCTCCGTCCTTAGTAAAATTTATAGTACTAGTTCTTGAATTTATCATTTAGCTCGCCAGGGTCGGATCAGCTGGTGAATCATCATTTATCTACAGAGTATGTACTATGGAGTAGTAGTCGAGCCCGGAGCCTCGGGCCGTGGAATTTCATTACTGGTTTAGGAATAGTGTTGCTTTGACACTGGCTCTCACATGCATTTAGAAAGCCCTCCGATGGAAGCCCTAACTGACCATATTCGTATCAGAGAATCTTCCGTGGTCTAGTCTCGAATAGGTACAGTACAGTACATTACTAAGTAGTACCATCCATACGGGTAACTAACCATCAGCTTCTCTTCTTGAATCTGTGCACTTACACGAAATTGTTGGATGCTGCGATTTCGACAACTATTCAGAATGGCCGACGAGACTATCGCAAAGAAAATCAAGACCTCTTCTCCCTTGATTGGGACTCATAGGTACTCACTCAACTGCCGCTTGAACTTCACCCTCCAATGACAGGCCCCTCATTACTGATATACACCTCTCAGCGGCCATTTTCATGCCGACGAGGCCCTCGCGGTCTATCTTCTCCGACAGCTCCCTACCTATTCTGCATCTCCCCTCATCCGTACTAGAGATCCGGCGCAGCTAGCAACCTGCCACACCGTCGTCGACGTGGGTGGAGAATATGATCCCGCGAACAACCGTTATGATCACCACCAGCGTAGCTTTTCCACGACCTTCCCTAGCCATACTACCAAATTGTCCTCGGCGGGCTTAGTATACATGCATTTCGGTCGAGCTATCATTGCTGAACACACGTCATTGCCGGTGGATCACCACGACGTCAACTTACTGTACGAAAAACTGTACACAGATTTCATCGAAGCTATTGATGCCAATGACAATGGCATTTCAGCCTACGACCCCGCTGAATTATCTGCTGCTAATCTCGAGAAGCGCTTCAAGGATGGTGCCATCACCATCACATCGGTGGTGGGCGACATGAACAACCCTGATCCGACCTGCCCGCCCGGGGAACCTCAGGATGAGGACAGTCTCTTTGGTCGAGCAAGCACCTTTATTGGAAACGTTTTCACTCGCAAACTGCACCACGCCAGTACATCCTGGCTACCTGCACGCACTACTGTGGGAAATTCCTACCGTTCCCGCCGTGACGTTCATCCTTCTGGTCGTATTATTATTCTCCCTCAGGGTGGTGTGCCATGGAAAGAGCACTTGTATAACTTCGAAAAGGAAGCGTCGGAATTCGATAAGACCAAGTCCGAAGAGGAGGTCTATTACGTTCTATACCCTGAGAGTGCTACTGAGGGATCTAAATGGCGCGTGCAGTGCGTGTCAGTGAATGAAACTAGCTTTGTGTCCAGGAAACCTCTGCCAGAGACCTGGCGTGGAGTTCGTGATGCAGATCTCGACGGCGTTATGGCTGTAGAAGCCGAGAAAACCGGCAAGCCCAAGATTCCCGAGGGTGCAGTTTTCGTCCATGCCAGCGGTTTCATCGGCGGCCACAAGACCAAGGAAGGAGCATTTGCCATGGCGGTCCGTGGCTTGGAGCAATAGTTTCCCTGTTGTTTCACCTTCTCTGAGTGCTAACGGTAGTACGGGAGATGACTTATAGCACGCTTCGATCCATCATTATACTACGATGCAGTTGACAGGCTCTATGACGGGTGATTTCTAAAAGTCTATCGGTTGGGTTAAGAAATTATATAATCTCAATTAGACAGCGCGGAAAAAAGTGTGTGTGTGTGTGTGTGTGTGTGTGTGTGTGTGTGTGTGTGTGTGTAGAATACCGCAAACCACTGTAAATTTTAACACTGTCAGCACGTTCCTACTCGACAAAAAGTCAATATCTATGGTTGGGTTACCTCATCCGAAACAGCAACATACACCACTAACATTTGGCATCTCACATTTCCTGGTTTTTAGATTCACCTTAGCTCCTGTCCTCCAAGTTGCCACTCAACTTTACTGATCCCCCCATTACCCATAAGCCAGAGTGTCTTGAGTTCGGGGCCAGTCCAGGCAAAGTTTTGAATGGTATAGTTTGTCTGGATAGTTAAAAGAAGTTGGCCAGAGGGGTCAAGTACATCAACACCTCGTCCGACGCCTGCCACAATGTATCCGTTGGCTGCTACCTTCAAGCCGTCCGGGACGAATCCAGAGGCTATATAGATAGGTCGCTTGTTGTAAGCACTGGTACCATCTTCGCTTACGTCAAAGGCATAAACAGTCCTACGTTGACCAGGGATGCCTGCGTCAGTATCTTTGCTTTTTGACAGAACTGGCCATATTCCTTACCTGCGCTGGGTGGCATTGAATATACTGCCAGGATGTCCATATTGCGGATCGACTGGCGCGCTCACAGCGGCACTGTCGGTGATATAGACGACTGAGCCTCCCGGGCTAAATGCAATGCCATTTGGCTGGCCAATAGAGTCATCAACCACGAAAACCGCGCCCGACGAGGCATTGTACCTGTAACTGGCACTTGGAAGCTGGGGGGGAGTGTCGGTGAGAGCATTGAACCACGAATACTCTGTTCAGCGGGTTAGCTGACAGTTTAATATCGAAATAAACATAGAGGGTGGCTAACGAGGATCTGTGAACCAAATGTCCCCTGTCTTTGGATGCACCGCCAGGTCGTCAATGGTATTGAAATAATATCCGAAGTAATTGTTTAACAGGGTGACCGACTTATTGGTTTCCGGGTCCAGTGTCCTCAAAGAGATGCGCTGTTCACTACCTCCGATTGATCGGTTACCGCCGGACGCTCCCCAGATGATTTTGCCATCATGGAATGTACCTCCGTTGGGCGCATAGACAGGAGGGTCGGAGAGGTACTCGGACAGTGTAGGTGGGTCTTCATTCAAATCCACGATGAGCTGGGGGAGATAGCCAGGAGGGGGAGCCAGCTGAGATAGGTAGAGTTTATTCTGCGATGCGATGTACACAGGAGCCTCATGGACAGCTTCGGAGACGGCGAACATGAACTCATAACTTGGATTGTCACCCAGGATCTCTAGACCTCTTTCTTTATCATATACCAGAAACTTGGCCGACTTGACATCCTTCAGTAAAGTACCATTGGCGACTATGGTGTCACCAAATGTAGATACGTCATCCATAGTAGAGACGTTTCGAAAGAAATGATATCTGGTCAACCTTGAGAATTGTCCCTGCTCGAGTAAACTTTGCAATAGACTTACGGCAACACATTCGCATATTGATTGATGCATACCACTGAAGGGCCGCAAGCCTCTGCAATGGGGGGCATCACTCCAGTCTGAGCGTGAGTGAGCTCAGATAATACAAGACCCAGAAACTGCAACCACGCCATGGCCGGAGAAATACACGAGGATTAAGGAATCAAATATATAGGAACAAAGGTGGATTGTAAAGAACAAAAGGAGGAGTCGGTTCAAGAGACAATCCGAGCCGACCGTGGCATCTGGTTTTCTATATATACTCTTCTTGCAAAGAAATCATGGACAAATTCACATACACACGCATGTAAACACACATTTTCATCTAAAAACCCCAGTTCCGGGTGAAACCAGCGCAACTAAAGGGGGGAACAACCGACGGGTCACACCGATAGGACCGTAATTCCGACAGACATGACGCGCGACTGGGAAGTGGCCTTGGATTGCCATCCATAAAGGCCAATTGAGAACTTGGTGTGTGGGGGTGACCATAGATTTGTGGAGCAATCAATGATCGACCTCCAAGCTTGACAATTCAATTCACCATTATTACCCGTGCCCGTGATTAAAGAGACATGGAGACGAGTCAAACCGAACCTTGAGTAAGATATGTCATCACCGTGGCTTCTCTATCGGAGATACTCCGAAGGGTACCGGTGGCTGGGTATAAGCGGCCTTGTTAAGGATAATGAGGATGATTCGAGAAACAACGTCCTTCATTGGCGGAGCTTCAGGGAGCTGATGTCTTCAATGCTGCCAGTTCCATCCCCAGAGCTTTTCTGTTGGGGAATGTCTTTCGCATCAGGGTGTATATCCCGAGCATCTTCTCGTTCGCCCAGTGCACGCTGGATAAGCTTGGCCTTGATTAGCGCGCCCTTCAGACGCTCATCCACGTCAATAACGGCTTCCTCTGTGTTTTGCATGGGTAAAGACGCCGGGTCAACCAATTCAAGAAGCGTGTCGACGTTCTTCGCTAACCTGGAGCTGGGTGGAACGCTCGACATCTCTCTGCAAACAGATGGCTCCAGATAATCTTCACCCTTCTCACTAGGTAACTGAGACATCTGGGGAGGGTCCCTATTTTTGGATGAGTCTAGCTCGGCTTGTCTTTGTGACCAAACCAGAGCTTTACCGTAGAGCCTTCCTATTTCAAGGAATTTTTCAAAGCCCTTCTCGACAGCGAATACACTGCCTTCGGTGTAGCCAGCCTGTGCACCATCGGCAGCTCCTAGGTCATAGCCTTCCCTGTAAAATTCTTCCTCCAGGTCGAGGAGACCTTCGAGTAAGTTGTTTTCCATATGGATAAAGGGAGGGGGTTAGGTGTTGGACGATATCAAAGAAGGGAAAAGGAAGGGGGAGAGAGGAACGGATTTTGGAACCGATCGGCAATCAAGAAAAGGGTTAATAAGGAGTTATAGAATTGTGGAAGTGTCCTGTGGCCTTATCATATAGACGGATCTCAATTTCGAAACTGTTGTTGCTTTTGCTGCCTTTTTCTGCTTTGATGTTTTCTTTGGGGGGGGTTTCCCCTGGCACAGTTCCTACTCTCTTTCCCTCCTCCGATCAAAATACTCCACCCCACTTTTGACCTCTCTCCCGGTCCACTCATGGTGACCACCCTCCTATCTAATGTACGGAGTAACGTAAGAAACAACCAAAAAGAAGCGGAGACAACTTCCAGGGCTCGCCAGAGTGATAGGAAAGTTATTCCACTACTATTAAAACTACCTACACAAGTTCTATTTTGGGGTTTGGGGGAGGTCTCGTCTTTTGGCTGGGTTGTCGAAGCTCTACAGACAGCGCCCTCTACGTCCCAGCTTTTCCAAAGAGACGAAACCCCCACAATGGGCTACTGTTTCCTGCTTATGGAACTGGAAATGCATTCATCCACGAGAAATTGCAAGCATGCAAAGATATCATAGATTAATTCGCTCATATGCATTCCCAAAAGGAAAAGGTGAAAGAAAAAAAAGGTACATAAATCGGGGATAATAACATGAAAGATAAAACCGCCAAACCCTCAAGAAACCAACCCAGGAAGGGAGTTGTCGACCACTGCCCATTCATATCGTCGACCAGGGACTTGAAAGTTCGCAAGATATCAACCCAAGGCTGACGTCGACCACACCAAACCCCCAACTGCGCCAACTTCGTACCCCGGATAAATAATATTACCTCTTCCGGGTACCAGGCCTGGGCTTCACCTCTTCCTGAGCAACCGGATGAAGCATTACTTTATTGGGAAGCTGTTGGGTGTTGGCCGAGTAGCCTTTGCTCCAATCATAGCTCACAGAGTAGGCAAATATATTGCCATTGCGGTTAAATGCTGTACTGGAGATGGTCCCCCCTACGGAGGGATATCCCTTTAGGCGATGTTTGGCGTCTTTGTCCCAGAAGTGGAAGGTTCCATCGCTGCCGGCGGTGCTAAACGTGCCATGAACCGGGTGGAAAGAAATAGCATTGACGGAATAGATGTTATTGATGTCGCGTTGGTTTGGCGGTGTCTCTCGATGACACTTGAAGCTGAAGTTCGAGCTAGAGTCTTTGTCCTCCACGTACTGAATAGCACAGCGGCCTTCAATACTGCCAACAGCAAAACCTGTGGCATCTGTGAAGCAGCTGACTACTCGCGTCTGCCACTTGAGAGGGGATTGCATAGTTTTGTAGAATTTGGTGGGATTGTCAAGATTGATGATGTTGATGTATCGGTCGGCAGTTCCAACCACTAGCAGTTTGTTCTTGACATCCATGGTGTAGACACGCTCCTGACATTCTACCGTGGCGATCGGGGTCGATTGCCGTAGATCCCAGTATTTGACTGTCTTGTCCCATGAGCCGGTCACTAAGAGGGGCGTGCCTCCAGCAGGGTTCGAAATCATCTGGCAGCATTTGATCGGAGCATCGTGGGCTGCGACCTGGACGGGGGTGGTAGCATTTGCAGCAAGATCGAGCATGCGTGCAGCCTTATCGGCACCAGCGCCTACTACTTTAGTTCCATCCTGAAGAGCGAAAGGCTAGTTAGCTAGAGAAATGAAGCGGCATGAAAGTTTGCAAAGCTTACCGGTGCCCAGCAGCAGCTTAAAACTGGTGCTTCATGCTCAAAGAGAGCTTTCCCTTCACTCTGTCCCTGATCATTGATCTCATAAATGCGGACTTTCTTGTCCCAAGAAGCTACCGCAAGATGTTCACTGGCGGGGGAAAACTGAAGATCAGAAATGCTATCTTCAGGAGGCGAATTGAGAGCGATATCTTTAGATATATCGCCGGTGGTATTTGTTTGGCCCGCTGTTGTCGACGTAGTGCCGACAGAACCGAAGAACGACATTCGAATGAGAACTTTTGCTTTTCACAGGATTTGGTGAGAACGGGCCAGAAAAGTATTACTAGGCCTATATTGAGTTGCAGAAAAACCAAGATACCACAAACTGCCGACCTTTCTGTATGAATACTAAGGTTGACTAGAGAATTGGCAATGGAATAAAGCAGAAGAGAAAGAGCTCAGCGCAGATTTGGGAAGGCGCGCGTTCTGTAGCCGCGACACATTAATGCCTTAATGAGGATACGGCAGTATCTTCACGGCCCATGTACACCGCCCTTCAAGCATGACAAACTCCTCATTTAGTCAGCTTCCGAAGCACCTTGCCCCTTACAAAATGGGGTCGTCGTCGTCGTAGCTGAGTAGTTAGTAGTAGTTAGCACCTAAGTACGTGAGCGATCTGTATCAGCATGTCTTTCGTCTTTGTCTTCATATGGTCTTAGATGCTCGAAACTTTTGCAACCGGCTATTATTTGCAGCCTTAGCATCATTGCCTGTATTAAACCTTGGTTTGGATTGCGCAGCGGAGCGAAGCGAAGCTATCATTATACTGTATAGAAGGATACCAAGGGCAGTAATCTTCTTCTATATCGACACTTCCATACAATTCAAGACAGTCATTTACGAATAAGTAGCCCTAGGATCCCCACCTCCCCTCTCTCTTTCTCCTTTGGGTGTTCTGTACTCCGTACATTCAAGAGATTTGTAGTTGATGAGATCTCTCGAAGATGTTTTCGGTACCCCAGTATTCGATCGACAAAAAGGGAAGATGCATACTTGTGTAAATAGGACGATAGAAGCAGTTATAATTTGAATCTCTATAATACTAGATGATTTATAATTTGATAAGATATTATGCCCTTGGATAAAGGTTGTACTTGACGGCAAGTTCCAGCATTGCCGAAAGCTTCAAGTAACAATCTAGAACGATTGTTTTGCTTGCCACGCAATTAATTTAGTACACATGATCAACAGAAGGTACTGCCTTTCCGTGTCCAGACAGAAGCGGCACAGGCCTGTACAAGAAGGAGCTAGTGCTAACTAAGACTAACCTGTCTTTGCAGATCTACTAAAGAACCTTAGTCTAGAAGTCTAGTAAGAGGGTGACCCCGCTCTTTAAACCATATGATCATTGTAACATCATCACTGTCTATAAGATATATCACCCCACCCCGATCTGGCCACACTGTCTCATTTTTTTGATGATGATGATGTAGTTGTTATAGTTATGAAGAGATCATCCCGCGCTAAAAACCAGTTCTGATAACGTGATCTCCGGTGCACCGAAAGAGATATATTGATTTTTGCTTAAACACATAGTGTATATGATTCGTTTAAAGATATATAAATACATTGCCAGTACTACTTACTATCTACAATTTACAATCTCTTATTTGATTAGTATAAGAGAGAAAGAGACAATTGGCCTGGCTCCACCCTGTGGTATCACGTGAGAATCTATTCGAAGCCACTGGCAGAGCTTTTTTTGTTACGCATTCCATCTTCGGGCCATCAATGGGTAACTCCAACTTTGGACGGGATCGGAGAGACTAGTTTTCCAAATAAGGTTGCCTGAGATTCTGGTACCACCGGTATACTTTCATCTTGACCAGTTACCATGAAGCATACCAGAATGGATGTCGTCAATGACTATTCGAGAAGAATAGAAGGAGAATGAGCAATAGACGCCACTATCATCATCATCATCATCATCATCTAGTTTCCAAGAACTTTCTCAGGGGAAAAACAACAACAACAACAACAACAACAATCAAGATCGCTTCCTCCGTATAAGGTGATGGGGCAAAGTGGAGCGCGCGGAAATGCGGGGTGCAGCCTTAGTGGACCACCTCCGGAGCTCAGCTCTTGTCGTGTGATCCGGTTCTCCCGGATACATTCCAATGCTGAATTTTAATATAACTCGCGAGCCTTCAATTATCTGCTTGCTGTAAGTTGAAAGAGGCAATCGTGGTGAAGATTGAAACGGCAAATAGTATTTGGTGTTTTAATCCCCAATGCACTTCCTCATCACCACCTTCTAGCAGTATCCAATTGCGACTGTACTAGGTCGGCTGACGGATTGACTACGTACAACGATAAGGTTATAATAACGTATTCACTTAAGTTGCAATACTTATCGTAATTAGCATTATTTTATACGGTACCCATAATCTGTAGGTACTCAAGGTATGTATGTATGTATGTATGTATGTATGTATGTATGTGTATACCATACTAATTTTCTCCTTAAAAAAGATAAGTTAATCATCTTAAATCCATGATAGTACCTAGGATACTGGTAGGTACGACCTTCTTTGAGGTCCAATCCCGAATTGTGATGCAGACTTAGGGTTCCATGACCCCGCCTCGTACGACGTACTAATGTAGGTATCATGGGAGGAACCCTAGTCGTCTGGTATAGTATCGTACAATGAATGGATAGTACCCGTTGAGCATGTACTTTGGATGGGCCAGTTAGGTCACCTGCCCTCCCTCCCTCCTGCTGGGATTCCCTCATGCCCCCCTCTCCTTCTCCTCTCTTCTCTCTTCTCTCCTTCTTCCTCTTATTCCTCCCCTTCTCCCTTTCATCTTCCTTATCCCTTCTCTCATCCTCTTCTAATCCTATTTGGATCTCAACCATACCTACTCTACAATACCTACCACAGATTGGTAAGTTCTCCAGCTTCAGTTGCCTGGCAGTATCTATTACTCGCTTTACACCATCAAGGCAAAGGCCTTCATACACCCTGTTCCTAACATTGACATTACCATGACGTTTCAACGCTAACTCTGGTCAGCAGTGATTACCCTCTTAATTCATTTCCATACTCGCCCCTATCGCAACTATGTCGGACGAACTCACAAAAGTCGATTCTGCCATTGCTGGCTTGTCAATAAATTCTAAGGAGGAGAAAGAGGCCGACAAGACGGCGAAGAAGACTCATAGGCGCCACTCATCTCAGTCGGAGGGTGTCTGGAACATCAAGGACTTGGGTAAATTTTCCCCTTCTGGAAATCAGGGTACCTGTCACCTACCCATGGAATGCTCTGACTAGAAGTCTTCTAGAGGCGAAGAAGATTGAGTTGACTCTCCCCATTGAAACGCAAAAGACCGGGTGGTAAGAACTATGTTAAGAGTACCATAGGTCCCGAGCTAACTCGATCTTCCCTAGGAAGCTCAACACTGCGCCGTCTTCAATCGAGGACAAGGATATCCTCAAACTCCATCTCGTAACCCCCCCGGTGAAGAAGATTGATTTGCATTTCCCGCTGGGATTGGAAGTGACTGCTCGTAATCTCAAGGGAGTCACAGTCAAGGACGCGCTGGACGCTATCCACAAGCAGTTCAAAAAGAAGGTTTGCGATTCTCCTTGCCATAACTCTTCCCTTCTGGCTACGATGAGACACTCCCTATCATTCACTGTAGGTCACAAGAGTGAAACTGACGAATGTTTGTTCATACGCAGGCTGATGATGAGTTGGATAAACCTTACCTTGCTGGTTTCGAGTGGGACAAGGAAGAGTGCTGGACACGCCTAATCGTCCACCAGACAAAGCAAACCTCGGTCCAACAGACCTCCAGTAAGAAGTCCAAGAAGAAGAAGGAAGAGGCATAGAACGGGCATGTATACTGGTGTGTTAAATGCCAATGGTTGCTCTTCTTTGTCCGTACCGGGCATACTTTTCAGACTTAATTATTTCTCTCATCTTGCTTCTTAGCACTTCCTTACAGAGCTTGTTTGGGATGTAGAAGCCTGAGTTAGAGGGTGATTTCTTTACGTAGCTTGATTTGATTCTTCAATCTCAATATTACTCCACTTCTGTCTTCAGTCCTTACCTGTTTCGGCGGTCCGACTAGTCTTCTTATTGGGATGAAGGTTAAGGGCAAGCCCATGCTCTTCGCCCTCAGTAGAAGGAATTCCACTCATTCTTGCTGCTGACACCGACATTCTGAGGAACGGTGTTCTTCATGATTTCAAAACTGGAAAACCTGGAGACTATGCCCAAGAATTAATTACGCACAATAGCTATTTAGTTTTCTGTCGTGCATTCTATGTTCAAGAGAAACAACCAAAACCCAGAGCACTATGGTCTAACACTGATGCAAATATACGAGTCTTTCTCCTTCTCCTTCTTCTTATTACAATTATGGTACACCATCACTGTACACTGCTGTGCAAAGACTCATATCCTTAAAGACTATAAGAGTAATGCCTCACGAAACGCCTGCTAAGGTCCGCACCAATCGTTAAAAGAGGAAGAAACTACGATGACCAGAGTCTCGGCCCTTCATGAATTAGGCAAACATGCGTTATCGCATCCGTCCTGTTTCACCACCCCCGAACAACACCAATACGATCTCATCCAAAACAGTGTACATCAAGTGAGTGTTGAGGCGCCGGTTGTTCAAAGTTGCAAATATTCTCCGCGCGGCTCCTTGAGCATTGGTCCGTCCAACTACATTTCCTGCCATATCCGGGATCAAGGTGGCTAATACCAGGCTAGCTTCAGTGCGGCTTTTCAGCCGCTCTGATGGCGTTCGGATTCTGTTTTCACGTAGGAGGCCACCTGGCCACAGGGAATCCTTGATTACGTTAATGTATCGAAGTAACGACTCGTCCTGTATTAGGGATCGGGCACCTTCGCGGACCTTCCGTTCGATGGTTCCTCCAAGTAATTGATGGAGAACGACGACAACCGCACGGCCCCGGAGCCAGTTGTTGCCTCTGTTTAACTCGAAGGCCTCTAAGAACAAATCACAAATCGGTTTGATGAATGGTTCCAGTTCTCTGTCCTCAAATGCATTCAGCTCTGCCTCGGCTTCGGCTGTAGTCACGGCGTCCTCGGTCGCTAGCCCTGAGTCAGTTACAGTGCTGGCTTGCTGGCTAGTCGCTGCAGAGATGAGATTCTGCCCGGCTGTCGAGAGCTGATCGAGTACACCAAAGTTGCCCAGGAAATCATCCATACCATCAGCAACCGAATTATAAATTCGGGTTACCAAATCCTTTGTCTCTCCATCACGAGGGACCTCGTCGCGCGGGATGATGGCTCGCTGGGAGAGGAAGGCTCGTAGGTCACGGCTTCGGCAAACCTCTGGTAGGAGCAGCAGTTTCTGCAGATACGCCTCCAGCGCTAGGCGCCGCTTTTGCAAAAACTCTCGCTGAAGCTTCATGACCATACGTCGCCGTGGGAATTCTAAGTACCGCACCGACGGATACCTCATGCGTAGTTTATGGTGAAGTTCGTGGAACTCACTATATCTGCGGGCAACAACCCAGGATGCCGCTGGCATTTGTTCTCCAGCATTCCTTTGCACTTCAACCACGTCTGGAGCAATCGTTAGTAGACTATCACTATATGGAAAATGCAGGAGGTGAAAACTACATACACATTGCAAATTCTCGACCGTCCTCTTCTTTCCCTACAACAATAGACGTGATCCGAACAGTTGAACGACCATACAGGCTGTTGTCGCTTTCTTGAATCATGTACTGCTGCCGCTGCATGTCCTTGCGGCGGACTTCTCGTTGAATGCTAGCTTTTGACTTTCGTAAAATTCTGAGTTCTGCAGTATTGTTCGTGAGCTCAGCTTTCCGCGTCAAGGTATCAACTACCGATTCCTGGGATCCGAGTTTCTCAATCTCTGCCGTGAGTGCTTCGATCGCTTCCGTCAAACCAAGATCTCCTGGGGCGGCTTCATGGACTTCGTCAGCGGGATCTTTGTCGTCTATTTCAGCGGGTTCTTCATATTCGTCCTCAATAAATTTATGGTGGTCGGGAAAGAGATCATCAGCAAAAACGCCGAGTCGTGAAGATTCATCCACCAACCCTAGAGAAGAGATGTTGGGCTTGGTCTTGTCGTCTACTCGTGTGGATTCCACAGAGCTACGAGGTGATTGTGGATATCGATCATTGCTGGACAGCCTAGATGACGAGGCATCATTGTTTCTGAGATCTTCTAATCTATTACTTTTCGGCTCGTTGGTAATGATATCGTTCAATGCGGCCTCCATAGTTTCAATTACTTGACTCTGACTCGCATCGTGTTCACCGTTTTGCGAGTCGCGACCAAGGCTCTGCGTTGACATCGCAAGAGGGTCCGTGTCGTAGTCATCATCGAATAATGGGGCAGACCGCTCGGAATCCAAGGAACGCCTTGGGGTGTCGTCATCGTCAAATAGTTTCCCCATAGTCCGTACATCACTCGAGGAAACGGCGGCCCTGCGCAGGTCTTTCGATTTGAACCCAGTATGAGATGCCGTACGGCCCATCAATGGAGGAAGTGCCGGTCTCTCATATACCTCCGCGGCAGGGGCGACATCATGTGCTACAGCTGCCGTATGAGGTTCAAAATGAGATGTTTCATCCGAAGCGAGATATTTATAGAACAAGTCTGATTGTCGAAATTTGGGGTAATAGACATTCTGGAGTTCATCCAATACCGCAGATTGAGTAGTCAATATCACTGTCCTAGCTTTGCGATACTGCTCCGGAGTAGCTCGCCTCCCGGCGCTCAAGAAGGCTTTCACAGCTCGACGCGACTCGGCTGTTACTTTAAGTTGGGGTTTCGACAGATACGTTTCGCTGATTAAAGCCATGTCATTTTTGTCTGTTTCTGTCCATGTCGTGGAACTTGAGGAGGTCTCGTCACCAAAGTCATCTTCGAGTGGGTTGCGTAAGCCATCAACCACAATCCAGAATTGCACGAGGAACATAAGTTGTTGACGATCCATGAACTCCATAAAGTAAGATAGACCCGATGCATCGTGCATTACATCAACCAAGGACGCCTCTTGAGCCAGTAAGGATTTTGGGGGGCGCAAGTGCGTCGTAGCTGCGGTGGCGTGCGATGAACGACTACTAGCTGGCGCTGAAAGCTTCGCTACCTTCTGGTCGAGAACTCTCTTCCCCGTCTCTAATCGCCGAAGATAGACGGGATCTTGCCCTTCCACCATACTTTCCCGCTTCAACTGGCTTGCAACAAGAGCTCTGAACCGTCTAGCATCGGAAAGATTGCTACAACGCCGGATGGCCCTAACGAAACGCTCAAAAGCCCTCTCTGAATCAGTTGGCGAGAGCCGGGGGAATGGACTCCCATGTTTTGACCTGGGTACCGGCGATGCATGCTCATCCAATGCCGCTCGAAGCTTGCGCACCGTTTTGCGATCTTGGAGAGCTGTTCGTCCATAAGCTTCCACCAACTGATTCCAGGTGTCAGGATCTGATAGCACGGATAGTATAGGGAAGAGTACAGCGCATGAAACTAGTTCCCTCACTAGAACGGAAACGATACGACTGCTTAAAACGGTTTCAGGAAATAATCGAGGCAGTAGCCCAACTGTGACTTTCCTAAGGTATTCCTGCTCTACTAGCTTTTGGTCTGAAAGAGAGAGCACTGCAGCGGGATGCAAATGACCATCGCGATACTTGCTTGCAATTGCGATGTCGAGCTCATCGGATTCGGTAACATTTCGAGTCAAATTCCGCCCCCGGACCGATCGCTCGGCGACGTCGAACTCTTTAAGATGTGCGGTCAGAATAGGAAATATACGGGAGACAATAAGTGATATAAGATCTTCCGCAAGTAACCGATCGCGTAGGTTTCCAATGGCTGCTCGAGCCACTCGGTCTACCTCAGTCACAAATGCTGGGTTCGGACTGATACCGCGGTACCATGACGCTATGAAATCCCGGGTTACCAGTGCCAGAAGCTCATCGATACCTTCAGACACCATAAAGGACTGCGGGTAGAGGGAGGCGGGACTGTAGATGGAGCGCTTCTTTAGACCTTGAGTTTCAATCTGCCAGTTGGGGGGAGTGAGAAACGCGACAGGCAAACACTGGGGTCGGGAATTGTCTGCATCGTTAGGGTTCCGGGTTGTGAAGAGTACAAAGCCAGAGAAGGCGACTGAAGCAAGCAGAATGCCTAGTCCGACAGCATACCCAAGGTACCGCAGAAATGGCAGGCAGCGTACAGCCAACCCCCAAGCAATGAAAGCACCAGTGCCCAGTACGACGATATCACGACACTTCAGGGCCATTTTCCCCGGAGCATTCGTACGATGAATGAGAATTGTCTCATGACGATTCAAAAAGGCAGGTAGCTTTTAAAGACATATAAAAGGTATTTTGAGGGGGGAGGGGCCTTGATAATGTGGATTAATACTGGATGATCGGCGATAATCCATGTTGAAGGTGGTTGACGGGCGGTGAGGACGTTCAATTGGGTTAATCCCGAGGTCCTGGGGTCAAACAACAGTATCGCCTGTGGTATGCAGTACTATGTACTCTGTACTAGTACGGAGTACATACGGGCTTATTTATGTACTTACTCGTACAGTACTACAGAGTAGTACGGTACCTAGAATAGGTTCATAGTAGTACATAATACTAGCCCGTAATGTTGACGGTATCAATCGCAATACCGTTTTCAGTATCCACCAGTCCCGTATTTGCGGAGAAGAGAAGACCTCAGTAAAGACGTCATGCCGCTTTAGTTGTTAGTTTTTTTTTTTTTTTTTTTTATCTATTTATGATCTTCTTCTCCACTTCCCAACAACAACACCTCACCTCAGACCTCCCTTCTTTTCTCTACTTCTTTCTTTCGGTCTCCTGTATCGTATCTTCAGCCTGGACCTGGACCTTTCCCACACAATGACTACTCTTTCAGATTTCCTCGATCTGTCTCAATCGTCCTTCAAGTGTACGTCTCAGACCATTTACTCTCTTCTGTACACGCATGTGATCCTTAACTCGGCTGGCTGATATCATAGGCGCTGCACTCTCCATCGCTTTCAACCCAATCTTCTGGAAGTAGGTTGCTTTCACTATTTGTTCCTCGATCATTCCCTCGGCTCTCCGACTTCTCATGGAGATTGTTGACTGACCGCAGCTTTCATTCATTAGCATTGTTGCCCGTGCCGGTTGGTCAAGGCTTTCCCCGCCCTTTCGCTGCTAAACCTCAATCTATGAGCCCAATTCATTTCATCAGTATAGAAGGCTTATGTTCCAAATCTTTCACCATCTCTTGTAGAATATCGGAAACACTACCTGACACGTATATTCGGTAATCCGTATTACGGTTGTTACTTCCTCGCAATCGCCATTTTTACCCTGGGAATCGTGCGCGACCATGTGTATCAGTCGGCCCTGGAAGACCAGCCCTATTATGCCCCTGTGCACCAACCAATTCTAGGCGGCGTCTTGTTTGCTGTGGGATCCGTTCTTGTTCTTTCGAGCATGTATGCCCTAGGCGTCACCGGAACCTACCTCGGAGATTATTTCGGTATTCTCATGGAAGCCCCCGTCACTGGCTTCCCTTTTAATGTCACTGGCTCCCCTATGTATTGGGGAAGCACTCTGAATTTCCTGGGTGTCGCGCTTTACAAGGGCAAAGTTGCCGGGATCCTCCTGACCGCCGAGGTGTTCATTCTGTACTGGTTTGCTCTTCAGTGGGAGGAGTAAGTCTGATATAATTTTCCTTGGATTCTTGCCCTTACGCAACATGCCCCTATATCTCTTCTAAGCATGCATGCCGTGCCAACTGACCCACGATTCTGTAGTCCTTTCACTGCTGAGATCTATGCCAAGCGCGAGCGCGAACGTGCAAAGGCCAAGCAAGGCGGTAAGAGCCAGTAAGGAGTGCTATGGTACCGCGGCCTGTTTAAGCAGCGACTGAAAGACGGGGTCAACGCTTATAGGATTGAGTCTGGACTTTCAACAACCATCAATCTATGTCAGTCGGGAGGGAATAGATAGACACAACCCGGGGGACCCTGGCTAGGAAATATGTGATCAAGATGCTAGAGTGGGATTCAACAATAGAAGGAAGCCTGGGAAGATGCAACAAAACCATGAAAGACACGATCCGAATGTTACGAGGGCGAATCTGGAGAGTAGTCATGGAACAAAACAATACAAAAGACAATATATTTCTATTTGCTTTTACACCTCTCTTTATAGAATAATTCATGGATATCATTTGCGACGCCCCGAACTCCCTAGGATAAGTATCCTATAAGTATAAAGTTAATGTTTCGTATCTCATAGAGATCTTTGAGTCATATAGAAGCCGTAACGGTAGTTACTGAGGCTGCCAAAGATACCTCTTTCCAGGGGCCCAAAATGCGAAACACCCAGCAAACCCCGGGTCATTGATCTATGTAACCACCATCGATGATTGTAAGCCGTAGAAGTGAGCTATTGCATCTATGCTCGCCGGCCTCTACCTCTTTTATTTGAAGCGCGGCTTTCCTCGACCATCTCAATCTCATCCTCGTCTGCGCCCTTCTTGAGGTCTTCACCCTCCACTAGTCCCCATCTTTCCCGGTCGTACCAGTCTTCTCCGTCACTCATTTCGCCCACATGGCCTTCCGCTTTGCACCACTCGAGCACATCATCTTTCATACGGCAAGCTCGGAGCAGGCATTCCAACATGTGCTCGAATCCCCTGACAGTCTCCTCCTGTTTCTGCACATATGACCACAGGAGTCGTCGTGTATCTTCGGCTTCCATGGGCGACAGACCAAAATCGGGATCTGGGCGGATAGAGTCAGGCACGAGAAAGAGAGGGTGTGGTATAGGAAGTGAGCTGAGGGTGTCAGAGGAAGGGGATGGTGGGAAGTGGCCTGATTCATCCTCTTGTGGATTTGCGGCATTAGCCTGAGCTCGAGTCGTCATCCGACGAGGTGGCTCGGGGGGAAACCCGTCCTGCATCTCTTCATCTTTGTCCGTTTCATCCCCATGGACATTGCCGGGGCCCTCATAGGTCGTATCAACGTACACGTTACCCGAGTCAGTTCGATCAGTTGCAATTTCTTTTCTGTTTCGATGAAGCCCATCCGTGTCAGATTTTTGACTGCGTTCCAAGTGTGAATTTACTACGTCACTGCCGTTGACTTCATCGATGTCTAAATGCTGTGGAAGGTTTACAACGGGAGTCTCAACCTCTTCGGACTTGGGTTCTCTTGTCTGCTCATTGTCATTCGTACGGCTCCCACTCTCCCTCTCATGATTGTGAACACCAGCCATTTCAATGTCTTGTTCTGCAGTATGGCGACTTTGGATGTCCTTACTTTCCGCTGTCTGGGCTTCTTTCGATGTCCTGACAACTGAAACACAATTATGTGCTTCATGGCTTCGACCTGTCATTTCTATTGTCGTTGAAAGACTGGGAACACTGTTCTGTCCATTTGGACCGATTGGAGATTTGTGACCCGGTTTACCAAGCCGCGGCTCGAAGATCCATCTGTCTTCGGGAGTCTCAACTGTTCCACATGGCATCCAAGAGCTATCCCCAAGGAACAGTCTGTGGAGGTTTCGCGCACGCCACAAAAGAGCACGTTCTTGGCGTAGTTTATCCTCGATGGCCTTGGTCATATTCGAAAGAGCATTTGACGTATAGGCGTGGGATAAGGAAGGGTGAGTAGGTAGTTCCGATGGATGTTTTAACGGGCACAGGAAATCTAGTAAACACATTCGCATTAGTCGTTCGGGGAAGTCATGAGTCATTTTTAAGGGGAATTGAGAGACTAACTTTCCAACGCGAGCTCAGAAAATGGATTCTCTTCCGCCGCAGCGGCATCCGCCTCGGAGTCTTCATCATCCTCGTCTAACTCATCCCCCTCTGAGTCATAGCGCACCGGGTTTGGCTGTAGGATATAGCGTGTGTACCCAGCATGATCAATTTTCTGTCAGAGAATTTGAATGTCAGCCGCTGAAGCCTTATTCCGACCTAGAACGAAGAAGCGAGGGCACTCTGTAAGGGCCTTCAATGGCCGCGGAACGGTGCCTACCTGCTTATAAAGATCCTCAGGCTGGATATACCCCAATGCGCCCTCCCGCACATGTTTAGCGTTTGTCCGTAGTTTGTTGCCTCGGTTTGTCGGCTGAGCGATGGGGTCATCGGGGCCTGAGACTACAACCAAAAGATCGAGTTAAAGAGGTATGACTGGAAAACATGAGGGAAATGGAAGCAGTAAGACTTACAATCATTTTCTTTGCGTAGAGCCCTTTTCATACCGACGATCGTGTCGGCGATGAGAGCCGCCTGCGCCGCCATCGTTATGGCTGAATCAAAAGGAAAGTAACTGAAATATAGACAGTCACAGTGGGAAACTGCCAGAGTAAGAGTGGTCAGATTATGTATCTCATCAAGCGACCCCGAATCGGAAGATTTCAACGACTCATGGGAGAATCCTTTCCGCGGAGCACTGAAATAGTGACGAGGGGATATAGCATAATCCGAAGCGGCCAATTCTGCGCAGCTTTCAGTTCGGTGTCTTCGCTGAATGGAATGGGGAGCTGCGGCGGCCCCGATCGACACCACTAGTCTTTGAAGGAGACATGATAAGGGCACACCACGTGATCACGACATACTTGAATGATGGCACAATTGTAGTGTACAAATTATCTATATGCTACTACTAGAATATTACAACTGCTTTTTATCTAGCCCCCTGGATTTGGGGTTCAGAGATATATGAAAGATTAAAAGGTACTTGTACAGAAAAACAAGGATATCATGATGGAGACTGCAATGGGCCAGCAACACAGTGCGAAGCAAAACGACAACTATATACAGCACAAGAGTACTGCTCACATGAAAGAACGTCATCTGTAACTCCTCCCTCTTTCAGTTAGCTCCCTCTGCTTCCTGATCCGCTAGCTGAATTAGACTTGTCCAACAATCCTTGCCGTCAAATGGGGTGGACGAGGTTTGACAGGCTCTTATGCAGCGTCTGTGGACCAGCGCCAGAACCTCCTTTTTGCAGAAGTAGGGTGGCGTTGGACCTACCACCCTGGTCCATGGACCTGGTTTTCATCGATATGTTGCGGGACCCCTAAGTCGTCGTTCACTCCACGTGGCTCAGCGTGCCTTGCACTGGCAAGGCTTAGTTCGCTGAGCAACCGAGGAAGCGGTGCTATTGCCTCTGAGTAGTTCTGTGCCAGGCTTGATTGGCTCAGTCCTCTAGCCATTGAAGCTAGTGGCCGCACATTCAATGATTCTTCGGACAAAGATTCTAGATACGTAGACTGTCGATTGTCATCCGTATAGATGGAGGCAGACATTGCCGTAGACCACGGGCGTTCATGTATGGATCGTCTGTAGTCATCATAGTAACTGGAGCTATTTATAGTATCAGTGCGGCTAGCTGTACTTCGAGCTCTCTCCAGGGCACGAAGACCTGAAGATGTTCTGCGGCCAAACTGACCGGAGAACATTGGGTTGGACGAGTTTCGGTTCTTCGCCCTACTGTGAACGAAAGCCTCCAAGGAATCAGCCTCCGAAATCGTTAGTGTATCAGGCTCAATTGTTCGTAAGCTCATGCGCTTTGGAAGATCTACACTGCCTCTTGCTCGAGGTGGGGGCCGAGGAAACAAAGGTGCTAGATTCCCAACGCCGCCTTCGTCGCTTTGGAAAGATGCGTGCGTATTTTGCCATGACACTCTGACTATTCCATGCCCAGGAGGCCCGAAGCCACCAGCACCATGCCCTGCACCGCTAAGCCTTACGGGAAGTCCGGATGAAACAGATGATATTCCACTAGAACGTTTGGAGTACCTTCTTGATTTGGATGAGTGCACCGAGTTTCGTTTCAATGATCTCCTTGGTTGGATTGGTTTGAGAGGCTCTCGCTTTCGTGAATTAGTGGTAGCTCGCCTGCGCATAGGTGGACTATTCTGGAACGACAGCCGCTTGGGTGGAACGGCAGCATCGTCGATCTGTTTCTCCTTTTCTGGTTCAAAAACCTTTAGCGGAGCGATATCCCAATCAATGGTCGAAGCAGAAAGTGTGTCTTTCCTGCCTTCGATCGGTCGTCCCTGGTAGCTGTCATCCAAGGGACTTGTGTCCCACAAAGGCCCTAGTTCCAATTTTGGTGGATTCGAGGATGGTTCCGGGGTGGCTCTGGTCAATTTCGGGAGATTACATTGGATGGTCTCTTCATAAGGCTGACAGCTTGGTAGCTCTGGGCCATTTGAGTATGGTACTTTCTCCTTTGACAGCTGTTCTTCTTCATGTGTCGATGCCCTGCGCTTTCGGCGCCAGCAGCAAAAAAGAAGCAAAAGACTTGTTAAAAAGGCAAAAGGAATCACGACTGAAATAGCGATTATTCCGGCTTTCTTTCCATGGATCCCCTTGGAGCCTGTGGACTCGTCTGTGCCCTGACCAGCAGAACTTCCTTCGTCTAAGATATTGATTGCAAACTTCTTGGTATCATCTGCGGTCCCCTTATGAGCAGTAAGCTTGACTGTATATTTGTCTGGGCTAAAATCAGCCGGGACAAGGCCGTAAAGAGTCTTATTATCGGTGTTGTACTGCAGCCATGGGAGCTGATTTCCCAGGTCGACTTCAAGTTGAACGGAATCATCGGTTAGGACTGTATTATCAAAAACAAAATAGAAGTAGCTTCCGATGACCGCGTCGCATTCGGCTATATCGTGAAAGAATTGGGAGTATTGCAGACTAATGATAAGCCTTGCTATATCTTGGTACTTGTCTGTGACGGAAATAGTGATGTTTTCATTCGCCACATCAACCGGTGGGGTCCCTTTAAATGAGATAGTAGTGTTGTCAAACTCTAACCAGGAAGGAGAGTCAGTTTGGATATCAGTCAGATCGGCGCCTGCCGGTTCTCGCCCATCTAATCTCAACGCCTCCTTGAACCGAGGACTGGTAAACTTCTCTCCTCTGCTAACGAAGAAAGTCTGCACACTCTGGTTGAATGAGAGAATATGCGGACTGACCGTCATATCAAACTTCATGGCGGCTGCGCTGAAACCAGCCACATCTGAAGCGACAAGGCTAAATGTGAAGGTTTGAGGCCCACTATTAGGTGCAACACCTGAGAATCGAAGATTTGATTGGTCAAATCCCACCCAGGAAGGTAGCGGGGCATTATCTGGAGATGTCCCATAGTATACGGTAGAGGGGCGGGTGTTGGTAAAGGTGTCTTGATCGAAAGATATGTCAAAGGCGTCCCCGGAATGAATCAGGATTGTTGATGGAGCGGATGTCGCGGCAATCGCTTCGAGCTGAGGAAGCAATGGCTTTCCAGGTCTTGGTCCATCATCTTCTGTCACGATGAGAGTGACTTCCATGCTTGCAGACTCTGATTTGTCTGATGCCACAAGATCAAATTTCACTGTCCCCTCATCTTCCTCCCCAGGTGTGCCGAATAAAGTGCGGCTTTTGCTTTCTACTCGAAGCCATGATGGGGCGTTTGAGAGCGAATATGTTGTTGAGGAGTCACTCCCACCGAATGTGCCCTTAGAGAAAACGAATTGATATCGCTGTGCAACCCGTGCCACAGGTGGCAGCTGTGAATTAATAGGGTAGTTCGAGACCAACTTTGCATCAATAATCCACGTAAAACCAAGGATGATCAACCAGATGAGCGCCATATCTTCGAGATAGACAGAACGGCCCTGGACGATACTTGATCGAAAGAACAGGCAAATATTCTGTTGTCCACCCAGGAGATATTCTGACGACCATTTGGGTGGCGCGAAAAGTAGCTGAAGGGTGGAATTAGGTTGTATGAAGAAGCTGAGATGGACATGGGAAAATATGCTTGTCTATCCTTAGAATAGGGACTACCATTCTCCCCGGTGATCGCGCCTAAGGGCTAGTCCAAAGCACAGGAGAAGCGCGATTCGTGAGACCCCTTCATCCGAGCCATACCTGGATATCTTTGACGTCACTGAATTATGGAGAATAGTCGGCGAAGGGTAATAATTGTACGAGTAGCTGCCGCGCGATAAAGCACGCTTCACGAAATGCACGGTCATGCAAGGGATAGCGGCTTGTAGGAGCCAAGGAGGACCCCCCAAACTGGACTTCCGGTAGGGCTTGACTCCTTCGAGTACTTGAGGGGTTGGTAGGCAAAGAATGTTAGCGATCATACGTGTTTGTCCCTTCCTAATATTAAAACCTAGGGGCGAAAAGGAAAAAGGTGCCCTTGAGAGGTCCATTCCCCCAGAAGGGAGCTAACAGAGGCAGATGTATAGGAGAGTGATAGGAGCACACGTCAAGGGCAACAACTGTGGTTTAGTATCATTCTGATCCCCATGTGCTCTGGCGCGTAATAATCGGTGATTTCCTCACGTTCCCCGAGCCCAAGTTGGAGATACAGGCATCGAGCTGGGGTTCTGGCCTTGTTCACCCATAACTAGATATGCTGGCAGCCTTTCTGTTACAAAAATAGTTGAATATAAACCATTAATTTCATCCTGACGCCTTGTCGACGATGACTTTCTGCGACAAAGAGTTTGTGTAACAGTGCTCTTCCTTTCTGTCGAACATACTAGATAGCATAAGGGACTAAAGGGAAGCGTGTATCCAATGCCGCACCTGTCGCACATACAAAACTTTCGTCTTCGGCTTCTTTCTCCAGAAATTCTCACTAAATCCAAAAGCCTCATTGGTGGGGAACGCCTTCTTCTCGACGCGTGCAATCTGGGCGAGAACCTCGAATGCGTGGCTCCTGTCCGAGGAATGGATGTCTGATATGTTAAACTCCATATCTCACATTCCTGACAATCCCTCCGGGACCTACATTCTAGGTTGTTAGACATAGGCTGTTGTGGTGTGGCGCGTCTCGATAGCCCGATAAGACATCAATATTGAGCAATTTTGTTCATCGCGAAAGTGAATGTTTGTAGATTCGTCCATAGCGGAAAATTCGCCGGCCGCCAGGAACCAATCGTATGCGTGACGGATGTACTAAGGTACATATAAGGTACTAGGGTAGTACTTAGCTATTGAAGACTGCTACCCACTACGTAACTGGAAAATACCTGCAGTGGAGTTCCACCTAACTCTTGTCGGTGGTGGTCGCGACCAATCAGCTGACCTTCCGTGACCGTATTACATCTACATATTGGTACTTGGTACCTCTGCTAGTTCATCACCTCCACCACATATCCGACATTCTTGCCAGTACTGCAAAACCCAATCTTTTATTCTAGTTTTAATTCTTAACTTTCCCTTCTTTCTTCCCCTTTACCTCTTTTTGGACATATCGAATTTTTTTAAAAAAAAATGCCTTCTCAACCCGACGACAAGCGTCAGGCGGCACGCGAAGTTATTGACATTCTTCACGAGATCTCTACACTTCTCGTATGTGAACCATCCATTCTTTCCCGTGGCGTTGTCGCTCGTAATGCTATGGTGTTTCCCTCTTCATCATGATCTAATCCGCTGGATATGTAGAACACGGCTTTAGACAGAACTGATCTTTCTCTTTGCGTCTCACTCATCGAGAACGGCGTCAATCCTGACGCCCTTGCTGTGGGTTTCGGGCTTTCAATGCTTCTCTCTAATAGTCGCTAGGGTGCTAACAATTCCCTTTAAATGCTCAGACGATTATACAGGATCTGAGAAAAGAAGCCACAGCCGCTCCACAGCTCACCACGAATGAGAATGGCCTTGGTGAATAGATGCAGTTCTGACCTTGCGTTTTCTTCTCTTCTTGATTCCCTTCCGTGGCTTTAATTCAGCGATACCCTCTGTCCGGGCATTGGAAGTGTAGTTACAATAAAATAACTCGCTCAGTTGATGTGTTTTGCTTCATTGTACTGACACGTGTATATGATATCTCAGCTTTTGGTACTGTGCTGCAGTCTCTGGTATCATTATCAACTCTAGGCATCCATCCTGAATAACTACGAAAAGGCACAACATGACTGCGTATGAAACGAAAAGGGCATATTGCCGACACGTCGTTAAGACTTTCCGCCATCTGCCTTCTGATTTGCTTTTGATGCTGAAGGCAGCGAGCCAGCAATCGCCTCGGCTGTAGCTGTCTTGATGCGGTCACCACCATCAGCGGGAGTCTGATCCCTAGGTTTGGTATCTTTTTCATCCTCGCTATCACCTAGACTAAATGGATCGTGATCTCCAACAGGTGAAGGCTCAACAGTAGACAATGGTTGCCATTTGCTTGGTTTGCCATCCGCAGGAGAATGTCTAGGCGATTCAGACGCGTCGTAAAGATTGCCCCCGATTTCGGTGGGCGGGCCCTCTTGGAAAGACACTTTGCGTCTGTCTGGTGATGGCGACAAGGTCTTGTAGAGGCTAGGATTGGCAAGAGGCCTTGGTGGTCTTGGTGGAGGAGCTATTCCAGATGTCAGTACAACCACCATAGCGAATCAACGAGGCTGTTAGCGAAACAAACCTTCTGTATCTCTCATTTCAAGAGCTGAAAAATCATCACTTAAAACCTGGGGGTCTGCGTCATAGCGTTCGCGATCCCCGCTGCGACGGCCCAACTCTCCGCTTCTCCTTGTTTGGGCATCACTCTCATTGCGATAGCCTTGACTAGACGGCGCATCATCCTGTTCTTCGCCATCTAGTCTTTTCTTTAGATTTTGAACCCACGAATTAACTTTTGTTTGGGTCTCTAGAAATCCTTTGCGGATATTTTCACGGATCACCGGAAGATCGTCTACAACCATTAGCAACGATGAAAATACCCCTCTGCGATGAATAACGATACCTTCAAAAAAGCTATACTCTCTGTCATCCGACAGCTCACTGTCCCTTCTCGACCGATCATATGGATGACCACCCTCCAAGCGGGATTGGGGTGCACGGCGATTGTAATGCTCCGCAAGCTGGCGAGCATACAATTCATCTGCTTCCAGTTGTCTCTGCGTTGCGGAGGGGCGGGGTGGCTTTGGAGGAGGAACATCTTGCTCGGCAGCGCTGGGGTCAGTCATGCCTACACACATTAATAATCAGCGATGACACCTTTAGCTATAAAGGTCCACAAACCAAGGAGAGCATGGAAAGCGCGTTCAACGTCCCAGTTGCTCGCTACCAAGACTGCCTTGATTACTGACACTTCAATAGTTGGAAACGCTTCTTTGAGAGTTGTTTCAGACTGTTGTTGCGGGCTCAATGGACGCGGCGGCTTTTGCGGGGCAACTTCTGTCGCATTCTGCTGAGTTACGGCTGCAGACACCGAGGCGATGCCAGATTCTTGAGGTTCATCATCAAAATCCAGAGGGCGTGCCGTCGTAGGGGACTCCGGCTTGGGACTATATGGGCCCGGGGTAATCTTGTTGGTATTCTAGTATCAAATCAGTAAGTGTTGGTATGCACGAGTGATAGATACGAAAACGAACAGTTTTGTCTTCTTCAGCCATGGCAGAAATGACCGAATCTGAAAATTAAACTATAACGTAATCGAAAGTAGTCGAGATATCGTCTACGAGTACAAGAGGAAGTGTGCTGCTGAGCCTGACATGCAGAAAGCAACGCGTGATAGTAGTAGCCTGGAGTAGTACGGAGTATTGGAAGCTCAGCCACTCCTGGTTAGCTTCGATGCGCAGTGACGTTGCGCCACGTGATGGATACCCATCGCTTATCTAATCCCGCTACAGTTCGTGTTTTACGTTTGGAAAGATATAGTGCCTTATTATCCTAAATCCTTGGGATTATAGGCAGATTTCGTGTATACCCAGTATGTCTCAGCCACATGCGTCAGGCGGCACCAAAATATCTTTTGGCTGATAACACTTCGGACTGCAACCGTATCACTGAACTTTAGTACTTCACCTATTAAGAATGGCTTCGGAGCTAGACCTCACATCTGCCTTCATTCCATCACTGTACAAACCCGCTGCTCTACTGCCAATCGCAAGATATAGACAAAATTTACTGTACCTCGTTGACACATATCCCGTTACAATTGTTGTTGGGCAAACTGGAAGTGGTAAGACGACACAACTACCCCAGTATCTAGACCAGGCAGGATGGTGTGCAGATGGAAAGTCTATCGCAGTAACTCAGGTATCTTCCGTTCTGTCTCAGTTCATCAACACTCATCTATTTGGGATAAAAGCTAAACTGTTGCAGCCGCGCCGCGTCGCAGCCACGACTGTCGCAGCTCGAGTGGCTGAGGAAATGCGTTGCAAGGTTGGCGAGGAGGTGGGCTATTCTATTCGCTTTGAGGATTTGACCTCTGCATCAACACGGATAAAGTTCCTAACAGATGGAATGCTACTTAGAGAGGCCCTTGTAGACCCACTGCTGTCACGCTATTCAGTAATCATGGTGGATGAAGTACATGAGAGGTCTCTCAGCACTGACATACTCTTGGGGGTCCTTAAGAAAATTCTGAAGCGGCGTCCTGAACTTAGGATTGTCATCAGCAGTGCGACTCTTCAGGCAGAGGATATTTTGCACTTCTTCGCCGGAGATCAGTTCCAGAACCAGACGGACTCCAATGAAAAGGGAGGAGATATTGGAAAGATTATCAGTCTAGAGGGCCGAATGTACCCTGTAGACATACTTTTCCTCGAGTCACCCGCAGAGGACTACGTCGAACGGGCTGTAAAGACAGTGTTCGACATACATCTACAAGAAGTGGAAGGCGATATTCTGGTGTTTCTAACGGGCCGTGAGGAGATTGATTCGGCAGTACAGTTGATATCAGAACGTGCCGCGATGCTTCATCCTAGAGCACAGGCACTAGCTCCTCTACCTCTGTATTCTGGTCTCCCAACGGATCAACAGATGTACGTCTTCGAACCAACACCAGAAAATACACGCAAGGTCATTGTTTCAACGAACATCGCGGAAGCTTCTGTTACTATTGACAGCATTGCATATGTCGTCGACTGCGGTTTCGCAAAGTTAAGGGCCTTTGATCCTAGTACTGGCATTGAAACGTTAACAGCAGTACCAATATCGAAGGCTGCGGCGGTTCAGCGTGCAGGTCGAGCTGGAAGAACTAAACCTGGAAAGTGCTTCCGTCTCTACACCCAGCAGGCTTATGAACAACTTCTGGAAGCCACAGTCCCGGAAATTCAACGGTCAAATCTTGCCCCTGTGGTAATGCAGCTCAAGGCATTGGGAATAGATAACATAGTTCGCTTTGACTTCTTGACACCTCCACCTGCTGAACTTGTTATACGTGCATTCGAACTCCTTTACTCTCTTGGGGTCGTTGATGATTATGCCAAGCTCACCAAGCCACTGGGTATGCGGATGGCAGAACTAGCTGTAGACCCTATGATGGCGAAAGTCCTGCTTTCTGCACAATCGTTTAACTGCCTAAGTGAGGTGCTTTCAATTGCAGCGATGGTCAGCTTGCAGGGATCAATGTGGGTCCAGCACGAGGGTGACAAAAAGGCGACAGAGAGCAGTCGCAGAAGATTCGCTGTTGAAGAGGGTGACCATCTGACGTATTTGAATGTTTATCAGGCATTTATAAAGATAGGGAAGAAAGATCCCAAGTGGTGCCGAGACAACCTTTTGAACTATCGATCCTTACAGCAGGCAGTGAGTATCAGGGCTCAGCTTAAGAGATACCTCGAACGTTTCGGCATCCAGATAGATGAGAAACATTCTTCACTCCGCCACAAGGCAGATTCCAGTAGATACCCTGAGAATATCCAGAGGTGTCTCACGACTGGTTATTTTGCGCATGCTGCAAAGATGCAACCAAACGGAACGTTCAAGTCTGCTACTGGTGGCCTTACGCTACATGCTCATCCCAGTTCATTGATGTTCGTATGTGTTTCTATTCTTTAGAAATCGTCGCGACCTTTCGATTTCCCTACTGACACTAGTTTAGAATCGAAAAGCGGACTGGGTTATTTTCCATGGGATATTGCAAACAGGCGAAAAGACATTCATTCGGGATATCACGAAGATTGAAAGGGGTTATCTTGTGGAGTACGCCCCTAATTACTACACAGTCAACTAATAGCTCTGGCAGGGCTCGTTGGGGGCAAAAGCGCTTCATGGTTACTGTACTTAACCTATGGGATAGCATTCACAATCAGAGGGAACATAGAGGTTTAGGTAGTGTATGTATTCTAGATGACTACAAAGGCTACCCTTGAAACCCGCGTTTTAAGAACAAAACAAAGTCTATGTGAAAGAAGAAAAGAGGCAAGTACGGAAAGACAGGGGATGCGTTGTACTGAGCCACGACAGCATTAGTCTACATTCCGGGAAGAGATGAAATAGATGGAGGGTTTTGTAAAGATCGGATATCGGGTGAGACAAATTTTTTTTTTTTTTTTTTGAGAAGTAAGAAGGTAGGAAAGAGGGTGTATCTAACAGACGACATATCGTCTTTGAGATTGGATGTTTTAAATTTTTTATTTATACATGTATATATTTGTTTTTTCCTGTTTCTATATTTCAAGAAAAAGAACGAGAGAGAAGCGGGGGAGACGGAGGGAAGAGTTACTTTCAAATGGCCTTACTTAACAATAACTTTTAAATGCTTTTTTTTTTTTTTTTCAAAACAGTGACATTGGATTTATCTAATGTTCAATCGGGAAAGTCAGCACAAAAATTGAATAATAACTTAATCTCTCACCTCAGCTTCGTTAGAAGACGCCCCACCAACTTTAGATGCACAGTGCATGACTTCAAGTACAGGAAAAACCAGCTCATAACAATATCATATTCGAGCCCAGTATGTCCGGTCATCACCACCACGACCATGGCAGTCATTGTCATGGGGAAGATGGACATGATCATTCAAATGATATCACCCCAGCTCTCCAATCCCTCCTCTATTCCCAAATACGGTTTGATTCTATCGTTACGCTAAATGGTAAGACGAAATATTTACGGATGTTGTATCATCTTTACTATCTAAATAGGTGCTAAGCCAAAGTTATAGAAGCAACCCCCAACGCCGGCGCTGCGATTGTCAAAAAAACATGGGCTGAAAGACTGAATGACCAGCCGGAACTTGAAAGCGATGCGGACGAGCAACTGTTGATGTATATCCCGTAAGTGATGTGATCTTCTCAGCTTAAATTTTTTTTTTTTTTCCTTCTTTTGCTTTACAGGTCCTCTGCTTTACCCCGCCTATTACATGCTAGACCCCTCTAGCACCGTTCTCGAGATAATTTCAACCCAACTAAATAAACACCCGGAGTTCCATACCGGTGTTCCTATCTTATCCCCCCCTCCTCTTTTGTTTTCTTTAATTTTCTTTCTTTTCCCCCCGTTCCTTCTCTTTTGGTAGCTCAAAGCTCTGACAATTTGCGCAGCTTCACGGGTCAAGTAAAGGTTCACTCTTTACTCATTTACACAGCTCCGACACCGGCCGCCCCGAAGACTTTGAAATTGTTCAAGAATCGTGACGATCTAGATTTTGCGACTGCGTCAGAGCTGAAGCCGACGCAGTCAGTGGAGACCCCGCAGCCGGTTCCAGGAGCCGATGTCTACGATTTGCCATTGAACCGCGCTCACTGGAATGCTACTACCTCCATTACCTTGTTCATTGAGGACAACTGGAGCAATGAGAATGAGGATGTGACTAAGGTTGGTTATGTTGGGTTCAAAGGTCAATTTATGGCCTTGAACAGGGAGCCTGTCAGCTTTCTCTACGAAGCAGCAGCCAATCCCAGTGACCACGTCGCAATTCAAGGCGTAACTGGCGTCGGAGGTAGGATTATGCCCGGTCAATGAGTCATGTATGCACATAGTATACTTCTAGAGAACCCCCGCTTCAAGCCAGCGAAATTGTGTCATACAGGATGACCGGTTAATCCAAGAGACATGCTTGCGCTGCAAGTTGCAGTGAAGGAAGCAGTGCAATAGAGCTTTCAGTATCAGAGCTGGGCTGATAATGCTACCCCACATCGATTTTAATTTTATCGTTTGGAATGTAGATAACTAGGGGATGTACTGGATGGCATAAATACGGCAGTTCCATCCACGCTAGAAATGCTCTTGGTATCTCACATATGGCTTCAATCTGTAAAAGAAGCTTGGGGCAACAGCATATATTTTAAGCTGGAATTGCGGATTGCGCCTTGGCTTTGCCGCCTTCTTGAGATTGTAATTTCTGGTTTTCTTCCTCGTTTGACCTTTCTGGGAGTTTCGACTTTGGCGCATGTGGTAAGTTCTGCAGTCTCTGCGCCTCCCGCTGTAATGCAGCCAGCTCATCCTCAACTTCATCCTCATCCTGGTTCGATAGATTCCCCAAGAGCATTTGACTGATCTCCTGTTCCACCACCGTCTCGTCAACATGCACACGTTCCACATATTAGCTGGCTCAGAAGTCCTTACCTCTTGGTACGCCCGTGCTTCTTCCGTCTCGCCCATTAGTTTTTCAACTCCTTCGATACCCCCCATCTCTTTGTTGAGAGCCTGCAGTACCTGCGTGCCCTGCTGTAACCCAAAGAGGACATCTTTCTGGACGAGCGAGAATTCAACTTGATTAATCAACTGTTCTAGTTGGTCGAGCTCCCTTTCGGACTTGATCAGGAGCGACTCTTGGTATTTCTTGCGGCGCAAAGCGAGGAGAGCGCGTTTGCGGTCATCCCGGGCAAGGCATTCCTTTGCTATCTCAGTTTCACGATCGGTGAGGACCGTTATACGCTTCCGATACTGGCGGAGCTTGTCCCGCTGGATTTTTAAATCAAGAATGGCTCTAATCAGGCAATACTTGGATGTTAGTTAGTAGTTCGGAGGGAAGGGTCGGGTCACGAGGGCCATGTTTCACGAATGATTCCAGTACCGAGCAACAGATGGGCATAGATAAACGAGTCCTAAAATTTTACTTACCTATCCTGAGCGGATATCTTATGGGAGCTATTCGTGTTGCCCATTATCAACACATATTGTACTAATGAAGTCCGGTCGCCTGTCGGCGATAAGTCGTGGACGGCACATGGAAATGACGTTGGTTCAGTACACGAACCGTTAAGTACAGTATGTAACATACATACATACTGTTTAAACAGTTGACTCAGTAAGTACCGTACAATACGAACTCCGTACATGCAGTCAGCACCTTGCTATAGGTAATGCACATACATACATTACGCACTAAAAGGGTAAATTTTCATGATCCGCCGGCAAATCTATTCCCCGGGACCCTAACACTATCGGGGAAAAAAATGTTCCCTCGGTATTATTGTTATCGATCAGTTCTGGCGTAGCCATCTCCGTTTGCCGGTCCATTTTTGCAGAGCCAAGTGCTCTCACTGGAATTGGTGTTGCAAATCATGCGTCGCGGAGGTAGACCGAGTTTGAGGCAAGGTCTAGATCGTGAGGTAAGGACCACATGATACTTCCAGTCTCTAATGTTTGTTTCTTATCGCCCATTGCCTTTCGTCTATAGGTTTATCAGGTGGTGCACAAGCTCATCGAGGACCAAGCCGAGAATGATAAGATTCGCCTTTCGGTACCGACCATTTATGACTCCATCAAAAGGTCAAATTCTAGTTTGAACCGAAAGCCGAAGAGAATCCTAGAAGACAGTATCGAACGGGTTGTGGAGGTAATAAAAACAGACTTACTTGGGGAGGATGAAGATGACTCTGTAAACGGAGATTTTGAAGGCTTGGAAGAACAACAACTGCCCCCTGTTACGGTAAGGATCTCACTTCTCATTTTCCAGCCTCGCGCAACGGCGGAAAGCGGCTAACTGTTGTAGGAATCCAATAACCTGAATAAGAGCATCGTAGGCATGTGGAACAACACATCTTCAGCACCCTCTAAGGCGCCTGAGACCAATGGTGCGGAAGCTGCAACCTCTGCGCCCAAGTCAAGCAAGAGACGAGAACATGGAGGCGAGTCCCGTTCTTCCAAGCGCCGCAAGGCCGAGAGCGCGATTGATCGATCTCCGCCCACACATGTCAGTCTTTCAGATTTGGGTGGATTGGATGATGTAGTCCAAGCGCTTGGAGATCTTGTCATCCTACCCATGACTCGCCCGCAGGTTTATATGTCATCGAATGTGCAGCCTCCCCGAGGTGTTTTGCTACATGGTCCACCAGGATGCGGAAAAACTATGATTGCAAATGCGTTTGCGGCGGAGCTGGGTGTTCCATTCATTTCAATATCAGCACCCTCCATTGTCTCTGGTATGTCAGGAGAGTCTGAAAAGGCGCTACGAGAATATTTTGAGGAAGCCAAGAGGATAGCACCTTGCCTTATTTTCATCGATGAGATAGACGCCATCACTCCAAAGAGAGAAAGTGCACAGAGGGAAATGGAAAAGAGGATCGTTGCCCAGCTTCTAACATGCATGGACGACCTGGCACTGGAGAAAACCGATGGAAAGCCTGTGATTGTTCTTGCTGCTACGAATCGACCGGACAGTCTGGACGCCGCCTTGCGTAGAGGAGGAAGGTTCGACAAGGAAATCAACATGACTGTACCCTCGGAACCTGTCAGAGAGCAGATTCTACGGGCGTTAACGCGCAAAATGCGTCTGGCAGACGATATAGATTTCAAATACTTGGCCAATAGAACTGCTGGCTTCGTGGGAGCTGATCTTAATGATTTAGTTTCTACTGCTGGCTCTGCTGCCATAAAACGATACTTGGAGATACTAAAAGCGAACAGTGGAGAGGAAATGGATATCGAAGAGGCAGACGATCTCAGCCCCAAGGTCAAGGAGCTGCGGCGATTAATCACGCATGCCAAAGAAACGCCAATTGGAGAGGAGGTGCAAGTGGTTCTCGTTTCAAATGCAGACTTCCTCAATGCACTTCCTAAGATTCAGCCCTCCTCTAAACGAGAGGGATTTGCTACCATCCCAGACACAACTTGGGAAGACGTCGGCGCTCTCGGGGGTGTCCGTGAAGAACTTACTACTGCAATTGTTGAGCCTATCAAAAATCCCAGTCTGTACGCGAGTGTTGGCATTACGGCCCCCACTGGTGTTCTCCTTTGGGGTCCGCCTGGATGCGGTAAAACATTGCTCGCTAAGGCTGTGGCCAACGAGTCGCATGCCAACTTTATCAGCGTTAAGGGCCCTGAGTTACTCAATAAATATGTCGGTGAATCCGAACGTGCGGTGCGGCAAGTATTTGTTCGCGCTCGCTCGTCTGTTCCCTGTGTTATATTCTTTGATGAGCTTGATGCCCTAGTCCCCCGACGAGACGATACTGTTTCTGAAGCTTCTGCACGTGTAGTCAATACGTTACTCACTGAGCTGGATGGCTTGGGCAGTAATCGCCAAGGAATTTACATAATAGCAGCCACGAATCGGCCTGATATTATCGATCCCGCTATGCTTCGCCCAGGTCGGCTGGAGACACTTCTCTTCGTGAACCTGCCTAGCCCCTTAGAGCGGGCTGAGATTTTACGGACACTAGTCCGCAATATCCCCATCGACTTCAACGACGACCTCAGAAGGTTGGCCGAAGATTGTGAAGGGTTCAGCGGTGCTGACCTGGGAAGCTTGCTCCGCCGTGCTGGATACGCTGCCATCAAGCGGAGGGACACGATCAAACATGAGGACTTTGTGACTGCCAAAGCGTTCATCCGGCCTAGTGTTACAGACCTTAAAAAGTATGAGAAGCTGCGGAGGGATTGGAGCGGAGGTGTTATATAAATAATTTCTTTTTTTTAACTAGATTATCCTCTTTTCCATTCATGGTTACATTGTTGTGGACCGTCGGAAAAGCTATAGGCGTATGATGACATGCTATAATATCATACATTCCCACCGCTTGTCAGGTAATATACTGCTTTTGCCTGAGAAAAAAAAAAGATACTGGAGGGGGAGAAAATTGTACGAAGCAATCGACAAGGTTGGCGTATGCCCAAACTCCAGTGCTAGACTGTCGTTGAATTACAAGGAAATTCATCAAGTTGATAGAACTTTTGCGATGGATATCTAGGACTAATATTATACAAAACGAACGCCTCATGTAGATATGGCTGGGCAAAATGATAGCAGTGCGGACTGGCAATATATACTTGAGGGATGGTATGAAATCACATCCACAACCGGCAGGTTCCATCCGCGCCTGCACTGACACACCAAGCTTCCCGAGGGTGCCAGTCGACATCCAAGACACCCAATTCTCCGGTAATTTTGTGGCCCTTAAGGACTTTGAGAGGTACAATACTGGCATTGCTGAGCATATCACCTGTAACGCTGCCGTGGAAAATTTGGAGGGAGCCATCATCACTTGCGTCGGCGAACAGAGGATAGCGTCCGCTTGGGTGAAACCGGACAGAGCGGATAGCCTTGCGGTGGTACCGCAACGTCTTGTACGGACGCTGAGAAAGTTCAAGATCATGCCACAGTAGACGGCGGTCGTACGATCCAACAATGAGGTTGTCCCCTCCGGAGGCGGTGGAAGACGTCGGGTGGATGTCGAAAGAAGAGATCCAGCGAGCTCCGGGCTGGATGATCTTGACGAGGAGTTGGCGCGATAGATCGTAGGCACGAATTGTTCGTTGATTCGCAACGAAAAGGATAGGTTTCGAGGGATGGAAATGAGCAGTTTGAGGCGGCCCACCACCTTTGATACGTCGGCGGAAGGGGAACTGAGTTAGGTGTTTGGAAAGTGTGTGAATAGATATGGCCACAGAAGCTGGGGTCGAGGAGCCGGGGCACACAGTAACAAAGTAATCACCGCGGCGATGCCATGAGAGAGACTTGACAACATATCGGAGGGGAATGACAGCGCACACCCCAGATTCTACGAACGATAATGATGGGCGAATCCACTGTGGAGGAATGTTCTTCTTGTTTTCCTCTGCGGCACTCGGGGGAGGCTTCGAAGCTGCATATCCCCAACCTGCGTCAATGATCTCCAGACTGGCCTTCTCAATTTTCGGATCCGCAATAGGGGGCACTGCAAGGAAGATATCATCGCCTGCCGCAGCCGCAAGAATAACAGCGTCCTTCCCAGGCCTCCAACGGACCACGTTCACTGGATCCTCTTCACTTAACTTCACACTCCACAATTGGCGACCGGTAAGTAATTCCCACACCCGCGCAGTTCCATCGTCACCACCAGTAGCAAGCCAGAGCCCAGATGGGTCAACGGCCAGGGTGCGAACACGACCCTTGTGTCCTCTAAACACCGTAGCACAGGCGGTCGGGAATGGCTTCAGTTCTTCGGGGCTAGGGAGCTTTGGAAGTAGGCTTTCAGGATCAATATTCAACTTGCTTCTCCGAACTCTGGGTGCTAAGTAAAGGTCCAAACAGCGCTCGAACTTCTCTTTGACAAAACTTTCGTACCCAGGAACCTTCCGAAGTGAGCCAAAGTCATTTGGAAGATACTCCCGCTCACGGTCTTCAGGGTCAGCCTCCTCCCAAGCCTTTCGTTCCTTCCTATCCGGCAAATATTCAGGGGGCGGATGATAACTTTCCTCATAACCAGGCGGTGGAAGTTTAGGAGCAGGGATATGCATGGGATGGTCTGGTCGCTCCGTTTCATCGGCCCACAAGTCATAGTTGATTACGTCCTGTTCCTTATCCTCCTCCTCTGCCGGGGGCTTGTAGGGTAAAATGCGGCCTTCTCTGATTGCTTTGACGATCTTCATAACCCGCTTGGCTTCATGTTTTGATGGCACAAACCGACGCTTCGGCTCGGGGGCAGCACTCAAGGGCATAACCTCTTGTTTGCTACTGAACCATTCCACTGTAGGCTCATAGGGATTGTATCCCTCTTCGGGGATTTCGTTCATCTGAACCTTGCGCAACAACTCCAGCTCATCTTGGCTCAATTCCAGTGGCTTGCCGGTTGAGGGATCGGTAAGACCAGTCCAGCCCTTAGGAATTTCGATGCTATCAAGCAGCGCATCAAGGGCTTCCCCTGTGGCAGGGCGCATGATTTTCTTTCCGTTAATATCGTAGCCGATATGAGGGTATTGATCGTAAAAGGACAAGGGGATGTTGCCGATGGTGTTCGCATTTTCTTCGGCATCAGAATAATCAGAGTTATCGTCTGGATTTATCTCATCGTAAACGTAACGGTCATTTCCATTGGCATCCTTTTCAATGCGGTAGTTCAATTGTTCTTCGTCGCTAGAGCTTTCATCACGAGCGGTTGCAGTGACAGATGCTTTTTTAAGGGACTCTTCCCCATCCGAAGGAATTTCATCACTATCGAGTTCTTCCTCTTCATCGCCATCTTCTTCGTCGCTAAAATCATCCACTAATTCGATCTCCGAATCGCTAACATCTTCGTCGCTGGATAGGTCGTTTGCATTATCTGAAAGTGCGCCGTCTAGGACGTCAGCCTGCAATTCATCCCCAGAAAACACACCAGCCTCCTCCTCAACATCTCGAGTAACCGCCTTGCGTTTCTTTGAGGACTTAGAGGCATCCATCATGGTGAAGGCTGCGTCTGCTTTAGTCCAACAAATTGGGTGGAAGCTTTTGTTTCTTTCCTCTTTTTCTACCCGAGATTTTCTTTCTTCTTTTTTCTTTCCTTTTTTTTTTTTCTGGGTCTGACCGCCCATGTGACATACCGCCTTCAGGACCGCTCTTATCGCCATTTGGGTTGATACAGGCGGGGAGTGCTTAGAAGCAGTACCAGCCTTGCTGGGGGAGGGGTACCTGCTCTATTACTATTTACTATCGACGTTTAGCCATCATCCCAATTTTAGGATGCAGTGTGACTGGGACCAGTGCCATACTGCCGCGGCTGGTGATTCGGGCAAGCCTGACTTTACAAGCATTCAGGTCCCAACACTCAAAAGACATGCGGCTTGTGACGAGTGCAGTAGGTCTCCATTGCAAAATAAGGGGTTATGCACGGTCTAGAGCATACTGACAATCGATTCATGAAACAGGAAAACGGAAGTTAAAATGCTCCGGGGAAGCAACGGGCTGTAACCGCTGTCTGAAGCAGTCCCTTATCTGTCATTATTCCGTGCAGAAACAAATGGGACGGCCTCCTAAAAAACGTGCAAGAGAAGATAGCGACCATCTGCCCCTCCTTGGTTGTTCAGGCGGCGAGATATGGTCTGATCTGAATAATTCTCCATTCAAGTCTTCAAGTCACTGCTCGGAAGCTACGGCCGCAGCCGACGCATTCCGTATCTGCGCTCCTGTCTACAGTGCCCCGTTTAGCATCCCACAAGCCTCTCGTCGCCTTTTATCTACAGACGATAACCATAACCATTCATGGGAACTGAACCACGAAAAATTCACGGAACCAGTTCCTGAAACAACTGGGCCTTGGCCAGACTTCTCCAGCGTATCTGCAGCAACGCCTAATCCGTTTGCGATGCCGCCAGGGCTATCGAACATACATTCACCTCCCGCAACTCCTTCGGACTCGGACTGCTCAGAAACTCAGTGTACATGCTTATCATACCTATATCTATGCCTTAGCCATCTGTCCTCTCTTGCCCCATTTCCGATATCTCAACATACCCTATGTTCACTTTTCATTGCTGCGAAAACTGCGCGAGCAGTGATTCGTTGTCAAACATGTCCAACAAAATTTGCGACAGCTATGCAGAATGTTATGTTCACTGGGACCCTCCTGAATATCGTCGCTGATGCCTGGCTACGAGTTTCAAAGACTAATGCCGAAGAACTTGGGAAACAAGCGGCACCGCCGGCCTATGTGGCTGCTTTAAACAAGAGCTCAGCTGACCCTACAGCGGCTTGGAAAGACTGGCTCCGGCAGATAGTCCGGAGTGGTGTTATAGGCGGACCTGCTGATCCAGCTGGCTCAGTGGCATGTTCGGATTCGCCAAGTTTGCTCTCCCTGGTCCAAGAGATGGAAGCACGCCAACGACAGTGGCATCTTGAGCGGCACCCAGAGGCTCGTCCCGATAATTCTGATGCCGGATCCAAGAAACCGGCTGCAATTGGTCCTGACCCGCGTGATGAACAGGGCTGGCTCTGCTTTCGAGTGGCTAATAGTGCTAGAGAAGTTATTTCTAGATTCGGATTTGAGCCGCACGAATACCCTGATGGCGTGATCTCTTGATCACATGTATTGGAACTTTTGTCGCAACAGCAACACACCCCATTTGACGATGATGCACGTGACGATTGGTTTGGCGTTTGACTTGGATTGACCGTGAATACTCAATTAGTTGCGGTTTTGACGGGCGTTTTAGGAAGAGTACGATCTCACACGAACTATGCGTATCTGGTGTCCCCATCTATCCTTTTTGTGTTTAACTCCGATACATTCCATGCGTAGATACGCGTCTTGTACATGGAAGCACCCCTGCATTAGTAGTAAATAGTTGAAGTCACTAATATTAGGCAAGTAGTTTGCAAGCTATCGGTACAATTGGTAAGTACTAAGTACAGGACGTTTCTGGTTCACCCTAGTCTATCATTATTATGAGTTAATTGGAAGTGATCTTTCATTCGCTATGGTGTACTCCAAAAATTCTCATACAGATACAGATGTCGTCAGGGACTGATTCATAGGTGGCAAGACTGATCATAAAACGAAACTTGTAGTCAGTGGCCTCTACTCCTCATCATCATCGTCCACAATGTAACGATTCTTCTTTCTAGTAGGAGGGGTTCCTGCAGCTCCCGACCCAGCTTCTGTTCCACGGCCTTTTGTCTCCCTGGATCTGGCGGCTGGCAGTTCGTTTTCGTCCTCGCCTTCAGCATCCATGTTGTCGTCTTCAAGAATGTCCTCTTCTTCTTCATCATCCTCAACTTCTTCTGGTTCTTCATCGCTGCCGACAAGGAAACCGTCATCTTCGTCATATTCATCTTCCCTAGTCCGACCCCGCCGATCGTATTCTTCCTCATCATCGGTATATATTTCCCCTCGCCGGTTGGGCCTACGAGATTTCTTTGCGCGGGGTCGTGTGGTAAGCAACCCGTCATCATCCTCCAACCCGCCTATGGTGAGACCAGCACCTCCAGTGCGGTGAGGAACACCAACGCGGCGGCCGCGATCAAGTTCCCGATCTGCAAGCTGCTGGCGCCGGCGGGCGGCCTTCAATTTCTCACGCTCTGCAAGTTCTGCCTGTCGCTTGGCGAGCTCGGGATCCTCCTTCACTTCAATTACAGGTGCGGAACCATCTACTGTCTTCTTGGTGCCGCGAACAGCTGCGGCCAACGATTCTTGGAGACGCTGTACAGCATCATCTGTTTCCACAGTCGTAGGGTGGACTGTAAGCCCGTGGGTCAAGTGAGAGGTAAGTCTGAACACGGAAGACGTCTCCGCAGCTGCGCCTAGGTACACATGCGAATCTAATTTCGTCTCATAGTCACCAGATTTGTTGAGAGGCGCAAGCGGCTTGGTTGTTATCCTATATTGCTCCTTGGGTGCAGAAGCTAGCTGTAGCGTCATGGAGCCATCTTCCCAGCGAATGATGCGTGCGTTAGATTGAATGAGGGCGTCATTCTTAGGATCATGGCGCCAACATAGAGATGTCGCTGCAGTACTATACGGAGGTGCAACATATGTTTCCGGGTTGAACTCTTCGGTCTCGATCGACAAGAAGTTAGGGATCGGCATGGTGTAGATCTAGAATGGTTTCAGTGAGCCATGTGGATGTCCTTCCTTATAAGTTGTGGTATATGACGAACCTCGCCATTGGAGGTTACTGGTTCGGGCGCCCGACCCAAGCTCAGATCCATGATGTTGACCGTTTCCTGGTACTGTTCATCTCCACCATCTTCATAGTCCATGCGGTCGCCTACTCGATCATAGCGATCCTCATCATCGCCGGAATCTAGCTCTTCATCGTCAAGGTTACGTAGTGGTTGACTAACAACAGGTTAATATCTCTATCGTACAGGAAGATAAAAAAAGTGGGCAGTACTCAGTATCGTTCCCAAACCCACCTTCCGATCCGTCAGAGCCAAAAAGATCGGCGTCGTCATCGTCGTTAAGGATTTCAGGGTCAGCTCCGACTGGACTCCTATTCCGTGCGGTGGCAGGGCTACTCTGTTCGCTGCCGGACGGGCTTGCAGGTTGACCAGCACCTGAGCTTCGACCAGGACGACGGACAATGCCCTCATCGGACGAAGACATTTCGAAGTTGCAGGGGTCGGAAGTTGTAGGAAATATGGGAAGGGTACAACTGTCAGGCACAGAGGAAAGAAAATGATATGATGATGTCGCAGCTGATAGGCGAGACTTTTGCAGTTCAATTGGCGTAATATTTTCTCAACTATATGTCCGGTATGAAGGGTTGCTTTGTAGTTCTTTCGCAAAACCCTCTCGCGGTCGAGGTGAGATACCAAGAACACCACTTGCGACGTCCGCGGAGCTTCTGTTAAGGTACCTAATGTTCGATTGATACTCGAATCCGCGATAGTGAAACGAAGGATAATCCGTTCCGTTCTCAATACAGTCTAGCCTCCGCGACAGCTCCACGGGGCCAGACCGATAGAGGAGATCACAGAATAATATCAATAGACTCGTTCTACTCTCTACGCTTTACTTCCCTGTTGTTGCTCCTGTTATATCCCTTCTCGGTGGGAATTCCGTCTAGCTTGTCTCTTAAAACTTAATCATGGCGACCTTCTTTCAAAGTGTGTAAGTCACCAGTTTCGTTCACCCATATCACTTGTCCCTTATGTACCGTCCCCCTCACATTGTCTGCCTTCCCCTTAAGCCCCTATGGCTACCACATCATGCGCCCCCTAAAGTATAACAATCAGCTCTGTCAACTCGTCTCTATGCCAACTGCTTGGCTTTGTACTATGTTGTTTTTCTTTCTCGCCTTAGCTTCCCCACGGACTGATCCCCGTGGACTTTCTCTTCCTCTCTCTTCTCCCCACATCTCCTCTATCGGACTGTTGATGCTAACCTGAGACCCGATTTTCTTTCCAGCCGCCAAGGGTTTGGCCGGGGTGGCAATAACAAGAATAACAACAACAATAACGTCCCCAAGATGAACAATGGAAGCCCAGCTCAGTCGCCAGCTCCTCAGGTTCCCCAGGCGGGTCCAGTGCCCAACTCGCCGTCTATCGCGTCAAACATGCCCCTGGACGGCCCCGCAGCATACGACCCCGATGCACCCAAGTACTTTTTCCAGGAAAAGTATGCCCCATTAAATGTCAAGGGTAATTTCTTGACATTATGTGCCTGCCCTAAGAATGTGGAGCTTGGGGAATGGCTGGCGCATCAGAGTAAGCGCAGTCCGATAAACCCCTCTGAAACTCTATATGTTGATCGCGTTCCCCATGTAGTTGTCGAACAATATCGCTTGCTCCATGGTATGCTCCAGGTTATCCAGGAGGTTAATGGAGTTACTGGTGTCCCCATTTGCAACGAGACCACCTGCCCAACTATGTCTGCTGGACGGTAAGTTGAAAGATGGTCACTACTGTATACCCAATGAATTGGTTCCTCGGCTGACAATTTTAATTTCCAGCCTAACGTATACCTGGCTCGTGGATGGTCGTGCTGCCAAGATATCTGCCCCCAAGTTCATCAACCGTGTCGAGAAATGGATTATCAGCAAGATCCATGACCCCGTTATGTTCCCCACCGACAAGGTCAACGGCTTGCCGGATACCTTCGCGCTCCATGAGATCTCGGGCACCAGCCCCTCCAGTCCCGGCGCGAACACGCCTGGCGAGGAGTGGATTGGCAAGTCTAGTGGCTTCCCCCAGACATTTTACAAAGACTGCCAAGGAATCATGAAGCAGATGTTCCGTTGCTACGCCCATCTGTACCATGCACATTGGCTGCACCCTTTCTGGCACATTAATAAACACGACATCCTCAACATGTGTTTCGTACATTTTGTTACAGTCGCCAAATATTACAAGCTTGTTTCGGACAAAGAGATGGAGCCTATGCAGCCATTGATCGATCTCTTCATTAAACAGCAGAGAATCCCCCCCGAGGCGCTTTCGGGCGGTCACTGGGGCCAACCAAATTCTAGCTGAGCTAGAAGTCGTTGTATTTCTGCATTTACCTGCAATTGATCGCCTTCCAACCTGGCGTTGGAAATTTGTTGGTCTTACGGTCAAGCTTTGCATCTCTTTCCTGTATTTCTTTTGCTTTTTCTTTCTATTTTATGTTTTCTTATCTCCTGTTCTTAGACTGTGAAAGCGTGATATAGTGGATGACACGGCTTGAGTTGAGAGTCTGCGCATTAAGCATATGATGTGAATATCTCTTTCGTGTTACTTTTGCAATTACCCGTTAAAGTAATCCGTCCTATTAGGTTATACTCACCAATGCCGCTGTTCTTAGCCTCCACAATAAGTGCATAGAACTCCATGACAAGTATTGATGGTGGGGCCGGGATAATCTTGGTTATTCCTAGAACTAGTGTGACGTGGAAATGACTGTCTTCGATAGAGCCAAGTGAACATGTAATAATAAATGTAGGATAGAAGATCTGCTTGCTACATCAATTCGACCTGGAAAATCCAACTCGAGCAACGTGGGCAGGCACATCAAATGCTTCAAATTGACGGCAATGCATCATCTAAAGGATCTGTACTGATCATTTCAGAAGACCCAGGACTGCTCGCTAGACCTAGTACGAAGGCTGGTTGCGAGAACCGAGAATTCTAGTGACCATACAGTTTGGGTCTGCGAAATATGGTTGGGTTCAATTTTGTATGAACCTACATATAGAAGCATTCCTGTTTCAATACAGAGGTTCTCGTACATATTGCGTGAACAAGCTTGCTCATCGAGCGACGGAGGCAAGTCTATCTTGGCTTGCGCGAGTAGCCTCAAAGAAAGACACCATCCTGTTCGTGGCCATTCTGGGTATCAGGAATAGACCTTGTGGTAGATAGCTCCTGCTGCGCACCATTTGGTCGTTCTGCAGCTGCCCCATTTGTTATGGGTTCAGATACGGATGGCTGGTGATTCTCATCTGTTCTCGCATCTGGCGCGATGTTCCCCATCTCGATCCATCGCTGACCCCGGCCCTCTATCTCCGACTTTAGTAGCAGGTTCCTTTCATGCATCGATCTTATCACTTCTTCATTTTCAGTGATATAATTTTCTAGCTCCCTTTTCTCAGCCTCGGTATCGCATGACTCATTCATGAACGCCTTTAGTTCTTGATTTGAGCGCCGCAGGTGTGAGATGGAGTTGGAAAGTTCGGAGGCTTTGGCGTACACGGAGGAAAGTGGAAGCTCTTTGATAGCTTCCACGAATGCAGCAAGAGTAATTGGAAGGGATTCTGCAGACATTATTCGGGTTGTCTCTACTGGTTTTTCCTTCTCCTGCTGAACTCCTGTGTGTGATTAACACTAAATTGGCCACTTTTCCTCATTGCTTGCTTTTATCTCCACGTGACAAAACATACATATACTGTACAGTACTCCGTACTACTATGTGCTTGTATGTACAAAACAGGGGTCGATATCTTGATTTCTAAGGAGGGTTTACAGAGTGGTTAGGGTTAGAACCTCACAGGGCTTTAATACTTTCAGTACTAGGGTAGTTAGGTGATTATAATGTAGTCACATTCAAATGGTTGAAGTGATTTACAATTTACAATTTACATACATATGTACATATACAGACATCACCCATTCCGTTCTTATCAAAAGTCTTACAGCCATAGTGCACTGCACGAATATATTATAATATATCGCAAGCAAGATCAGGAGCATATATGGGCTGTCAGCATTATACCTTCGTCTAGTGTTCTTCACATAGTGTAGGTAGTACTATCTGCCCAGGCTCAGTCCACTGTATGAGTGTATTACCGGAACAATTCCTCGGGCGCTCCGGAGAAATCCGTGGACTTTCACCATCAAACCTCTAGCAAAGTTCTTATCAATATTGTACTCTCGCTGATAACTTTTTCGCATTTCACTTAGAGGCTGACAAAGCTCATTGCAGGCAGGATTTGACTGCCAGTCGCAGGATATGAGCAATGTGTTCTGTATAGCATGGCGGATCCCATGCTCGGGGCCCCGTTCCTTGAGCCTGCTTCCATCAAGTGCAACTTCGCTGCGCTCCACTTGTGTGTCCTCTCCATGGTGTCTTGGTAGTATATCCGGGCGGCACCTTGGTCCTTTGAGCCTTTTTTCTCCTACGACTCCGTTCCAGTATTGCACCCGTACGACGTCATCCGCCCGGTCGTTTACAAGCTCGAGATGCCTGCGCACCAAGCCCGTCCCTAAAGTTGAATATGGTGTCCAGCTCCGGCCGCAGCCTTTTACGACGGCCGAAATCAATGCAGTTTTTGGGAGCCGTGCGAGGATAACCCCTCAATTAGGAAACCGGATTCTCGGTGTTCTCCAGGGTAGGCGTCTTGATGGCACCCTTGATCTTGACCTTCCTTCCGATATAACTCGCTCCGTCCGTCCTTCTAGTCTCGATGTGGCTTTGCAATGGCTACGCAAAAATTACCCACTCGATGAAGATGCTGCTATTCTCGCACGAATCGAACGAGAAGAGCTGCAGGAGGAGGAAAAGCTCGTCCGACGCGCAGAAGAGCTGGGCCTCTACAAACCTCAGAGTGGATCCTATGGTGCTGAACTAGGCGATTCGAATGACCCGTATGGTAAAAGTGTTCTGAAAGAAACGAGGAAGCGAAATGAAGCAAGGCTCTTGGCTGAACAAGAAAAGAAACGCCAAGAATGGCTCGACGGTGAACAAAAAGAGCGGGAAAAGTTAGAGCATATGAGGCAGAAGAATACCTCCCTCCAGAGGTTCGAAGATACAGCATCTTTGGAAGGTGAAACTCCTGCATTTAGGATTTTAGGATGAAGATGTTAACGACTCGTGTAGTGCGGGAACGTGCGGATCCCAATCAACGTCCACTCCTTGCATGGATACAGAAACACCATCTACGAGCCACTGACTGGGATTTGGATGTGTCTAAGCTGACGAATGTATGTTTACCGCTGCACGTCCAGTACATGCTTGTCTGGACTAACCTTTCCGCTGATAGGGCGGTCGTATTCTCCGGATCCTTAGCATCACACTCGTAACTTTTGGCCTTTGCTACGTTTTTTCAAACAATTACCAAGCTCCCGCCAAGGCTGATCGGTTGTGGCCTGATGTTCCCCCAGCAGCAGCTACGGTCATGGCTATAATAGGAACGAATGTCGGTATTTTCCTTCTATGGAAGCTTTGCCCCCCGGCCTGGAGGCTTCTTAACCGTCATTTCATTACTGTCGCTGCCTATCCTCGTCCGCTCAGTTTGATCGGGAACGTCTTTAGCCATCAAACGGCAAATCACCTCGCACTCAACATGGTGGTCTTATGGTTCGTTGGGACAAGGCGTGAGTGCTTGGATAATCCGTCTGGTGGCTGTGACATTAACTGATTTCATTTCTTTTAGTTCATGATGAGATTGGCCGTGGAAACTTTTTAGCTCTGTATTTGGCTTCTGGCGTTTTCGGATCCTTCACGTCTTTGACCGTCAATATCATGAAAGGGAATTTGGGTCTTACTGCCCTTGGAGCTAGCGGAGCTATCTCGGCTCTGGTTGGTGCTTGGTGCATGCTTCATGCCGAGTACGTATTGAACGGCTTCTTGGATACAGTTTACATAATCCATGCTAACGTCTACTATCTTATATGGACAGTGAGAAATTCACTTTTCTCTTCCTTCCACCTGAATGGCAGGACGTTGCCTCAGCCAAAGGATGGATGGTCCTGACTGGCCTTGTTGCCCTGGAATTCGTCAACATGTTTACCCGCCGAGCATTGATTGATTATTGGGCTCACCTTGGTGGATTCCTAGCGGGAACACTATGGTCAACTGCATACAAGATGCAAAAGGACAACGAACAACTAATAAATAAGACATGGTTTGAGCGCACCTTTCGGGATTGATGTTAATGGGAAGATTAGAGCTATATAACTACGATGTGCCTGCTCAGCAGTGACTTTCGCTACGACAGACACCCATTAATCCTCTGCTCACGCATATCATATAGTACTCAAGCTCTTCTCTCGTTCTTTTTTTTTTCACCCTCTTATTTTTGTTTCCGCTCTTCTTCCCTCCATGACCTTGTTACGGCGCACTAATCTCAACCATGGGAACAAGGGGAAGGAATGCTCAACTTATGAATAGGCAAGACTGATTACAATTCTACAGTCCAGGACATGCACGTTACTCAGTCCAAACTCTGCGACCATTGTTTCACATATGTATGGTTTCTAGAAAAACTGAGAGTGAACAAAAAGAAAGTACTATATGCACCACCTCTCAGCAGCTGCAGCAGGTATCCATCCATAAGAACCTCAAAGCCTAAAATGAAGACTTGTTCTGGACTATGAAAGAAAGAAGATATTCCAGACAGGAGACTTGTGGGCTGCTGCTTTCTTGTGTTGTCTTCGTGTGAGTGAATAAAGCCCTAAGGCTCCACATCTGATCGGATTTCACTCCATGCGTTTACATCTCATTTTTACGATGGTGTCGCATCTGGTTTCTCGGCAATAGATAGCTATATAAGTGGATTAAACATATAAAACTTGACTACCTATAGTGGTTCACAGGATTGGGTTGTATAGAAATATCATAGTTCATCAATTGAATGGCCTAATTTCTTTAGTTACGTCTAGTAATGTGCAAGGGCCATTGATTAATGGGTAATCTATAGATACTTATAAAAGTTTGGTTGTGTTCACCCATGTACTTTTCTTTCACTGCCCTTCCTTTTTTTTTCTCACCCCTCCCCCCGGCCCCTAGCAATCCTGATCCTTAACATATCTTTTTCAATAAACAGTCCCTTCATTCTCTTATCATACTCCCTTCGCCCTTTCGTTTTGTTTGCTTGCTCCTCACCTTTTAGCTGTTTGGGTTATTTGTTTGAAGGTTATTACTGGTCTTGATTTCTGCATTGCACCAAATGTGGAGGGTTTGGCTCTCGCCCCTTGATGTCGAAACCTCTGTTCTATTTAACAGAGAAACTTTAGCATTCGAGCCCAAGTTTGCGCTGCGGGAGAATGCCTTACAAGATCAACTTCAGTGCAGCCAGCAAGACGCCCGTCTCCCCCGTCTTCAGGCTTAAGAGAAGTTGGGGGGCGATCAAATGTGCACATAATGGCAATAAATTTGACGCAGTATCGCTCTCGGATGTTAGCCAGTCCTTCTTCGACGAAGGCACGCTACATCCGGCTCAAGAAATAGAGGTTCTAGAGGGATACGCCAGCGATGTATCCGAGATTGGCTCAGTACACTCCGATGACTCTGCCGACCTGGAGGTCACAGAGCCGAGAAACGAGCCTCCTACATACGGTGTGAGCCATCCTTGGGAGGTAGTAGATTACCACTTGTACCTCTGCTCCGTTGAAAAGGGGAAAGACACATATGCGCGACGCAATGGGATGTTCGTGTATGACGGTATTGATTGTCGCCCAGTCTATTACAGTGAACTATTGGAAGAACGTGCCTTTGAGCCATGTAATGTTGGAGAAGAACCTCAGTTCCTATTTTGGAACCTTCCCATTGCCGATTTGGGACCTTCCTTCAATGGCAGACACTATGTCCTAGGATTTGACTATAACAACAGAGCCTTATTTGCCCGCCATTTTGAGTGGATGCCCAACAAGACTGATGATCTTTGGTGTGTGTGGGACCTTGGGTTCACCATGTACAGTATCACCATACCGGATCTCATCATTCTTCTAGAGTCTGGCCTTTCTGAGGAAGTGCACGTTGGCATGGGAATTCTTAGCTCAAGCCCTTATTGTATAGCCATGGGGTCATGTGATGATCCAGGCATGGAGATCGTCATTACCATTCTCTTCTGCCGGTGGGTGCTGGACTTTGCGGAGGCTATCTTCGAACAGGGCGGGAACATCATGGAAAGATTCAAAGAGAGACTCGCCCGCTACATGGAAGAGTGTCGTATTATCCTGGCACGGGCCTCGTACAGGGCATGGTTTGTTTCACGAGGCGGTTATACGAAGGCAATTTGCCAGCGGAACTCATCTATTGGCAAGTTCACTAGCGACCTTTTCACGTTTAGCAAGTCCGTAGAAGACGGCAGCTTGAAAGCTCAGTCTTGGCGTGCACCAGGCTTGGACACTTGCAACATGCTCCGTCATCAGGACCGGGTTCAGAGAAGGGCAGAGACGGAGCAACGGCTGGAAAGTCTCTTCACCATTCCGGAGGTTGATACACCTCCTGAATCTCCGGGGGGGGTTCTGGGAGGGATGGTTGTCAGGTCAAAAGAGAGTCTAGCCGCATTGTATCCCGCTAGAACTCCCAGAATTCCACCCCGATCTAAGTATGGATCGGTTGGGTTACACCGCTGG